CATGAAATGGGGGTATTTTTTATGTTTTACGAAAAAACGAAATGTTGAATTTTATATAAGGTCCAAATCAAACTTTCTTCATTAAATGCTGAATTTTCATAAGGCTGAACATGCTAGTCACATCACTTAGTATCACGAAAGTGCGCGCAAACGTAGTTGTAAAATTCTTCTTCTTTCTCCTCCTTTGGATGAACAGTCGCCTCCCTCACCAGACAACACATTCACCTAGTTAGCTATATATAATGAAATCACCACTATCATGAGGCGGGTTGGGGAAAACAATAAGATCGCCAAACATCGGGCAGCCTTTGGCGATGTACAGTGAGTCACCACAGTTTAGTAGTAATAGCTATCGAAATGGTCACTTGTTTCTGATTGGCATGGGTAAAGTTGGATGAAGTCTTTGGCAGTTGCTACCAACTGCTTTGGGATATGATAGTGGGATGCATTTGGTTTCCAATGGTTTGGACTGGTAGTTCCTCCAGATCCAATTTTTTAAACCAGAAGAAGCCCAGTAGGTCGAGCCTTGTTCCTTGAAATGTAACAAATTCCAGTGAATGCTGTGCCATAAAAGAATACGGAGCACTGGAGTTTTTCAGAGCGTTTAGCTGGTCACCACCTACATCAGTGGCAGTCATAATGGTCTAAAAAACTGGTAATTTGCCAAGTCGACGCAATATGATAGTAATATCAGACTCAATGTCCAGCTGCAATCGCATTGGACAGACATTGAGTCGAAAGATGATGAAGCCTTGGCAACCGGGTACATTCATCTGGAAGACATTCATCATGACGGATGGGTTAAAACCCTTTGTAGACTTGTTTTGACTACGTTTCCTGTGCTTTTTTGTGTCTCCATTCGAGTTGGATGGGTAGGGTGGACAATACCAACCCATTCGACCAAAGCTGTTGCACTGGCGACACTTGTGGTGCCTGTGAATGCACTGTTTGACAAAATCTCAGGCTTTGCAGTGTCAGACGGGAGAAGAAGGCGTTTTACTGTTCTTGGCATCGATGTGCTAGTCGTTGAGACGTCAACCAGGTTCAGAAGTGCTGAGATTTTGTGAGTTGGGACAGTTGGGTTGGCGAAAAGCATGAACCTGAGAATCGTCTTCACCCATGCTTTGAGCCAAACTGGTGCCATGCTTAAAGTTGACCAAGAGTTGACATTCGGTTTTTCCTGTCTAGATCGCCAGCGAGGGATCCTGATCCTGATCATCTGAGTCGTAAATGACTGTAAGCCGCAGACGGGAAAGACATTCAAATTGGTCGCCAGTCATTTCCATAATTCCGAAGCGTTCGCACTGACTGGTGACCCTTCCTGCGTAGTTTGCGCTATCCTCTTCAACATACTTTGTTAGCCTCAGACAGTTAACAGGATAACAAAAATTGCATAATGAAGATTACTTGCAGAAAATGCCATTCAATAATGATGCAGTCTCGACAAAGCTCAAATGTTCAGCTAACACCAGTACCAACAAATACAGACCGAAAAACACCCTCATAACACCTGAGTTAGAAGTCAAATATGGAATCCAAATCTAAGCCATAGTGGAATTCCGCGATACTATCGGTAACAGTCAACAGGCTGCCACTTCCATTCTGACGGCGTTGTGAAATGGATTGTATGTTTCCGCAACAGCAACGCTTTGAGTCGAATATGCTCAAATTGTGTCAGCTAAAGTTTTGGGATGTCTCTCAGTTCTTTAACAGAGAAGGACATCTATAAATTCTGTGGAGGATGCCCAGTCGCCAATTCTTATAACCTATGTCAAAAATTGTCATAAATTGGGGTTTCTATGTGCGTGTAGGCTGGATCTTATAGGGCTCCTAAATGGATAATTAGTAGACAAAGACTGAGGGAAGCAAGACTCTAGAACACTCAGAGGTTACCTACCAGTTGAAACTTCTAGAAAATAGAGGAGGAGAGTTTTCTGGATTTATAGCCATCCACAGAGTCATAGCATAAGTATCTAATCTTCATTACAACAGCAATCCTTTTAACTTTCAACTGCGTACCACCACAAAAGAGTGCCAAGACGGCGGCAAGACAGTGGAAAACCGAATGTTATTGCAAACATACGCTTCTGGTGAAGAAATCCAATTTGTGCTTAGTAGTAAGAAAAATTCAACCAAATCAAATTTCATAAAGGAAGAAGTTTTCAGCTTAACAAGATCTATCTACTTACCTTGGTGCAAGGGAGGACAAACTCAACAGTTTTATGTGCCTAAGCAGGCTCCGTCCAAGTGATCTCAGAGCTCCACAACTAAAATGCGGCAGTATCGATGAATAACATGAGGAAACACTTTGCAAGGCTTACAAGCACGATTTAGTGAACTAAATAGGGTTATTCTTAATGCCCCTTTAAACGTAACTTCTGCGGCGAATGCTTACATATTCCTACCCAATTGCAGTTGTGCAATTGATCTCCAGAGATAAATTCAGGTTATTCTGCCGTTACTTTACAGGGTATGATTGCTGAAATGAAATTGCATCAGAAGAAAACCCACCCATGACTGGATGGTGATGATCAAAGGCAAAACTGATCGATGTTGGAGCAAACGTGAACACGCCAATTGAATTACTTTGTTTGCAGATCGTAGACATGTAAGGCGACACATTAAACTTGCACACCACACAGTATGCCTTGCAGACCCAAGCGTTGACAAGTGTCAGAGTGCATAGGCTACCTCCTATTGGCAGAGTGTGGTGAGGCGTGAGGAAGGACCTTTCACTGTGCGCACTCCAGAAGTGCGCACCACTGCATAGAACACCACACCACCACTATGTTAAAGGTTCTGGCCCTCCTCCTTCTCAACCTCGTCTGTCACGTGCCATCCAGCAGGGCAAATTTCTTCGGCTACTACTTGGACTACTTCAATCTGAGGGATAAGTACATTCCCTACATAAATGACAATATGGAAGAAATCAACCGTCACAAGGGTACGCATTTGCTCAGCCCAGCCTCAGAGTCGTCTTGATATAAGGTCATTCCACCTAGACATGAGGCTTTTACTAACATCCCTACTCTGTCCTGATATTGCATACATTAACGCTTCCTATAAGAAACACAATTGTAGCGCACTCTAATTCCCACTCTAAAATCTCACTATACACCTCACCATCTGTTTCAATAGTTGATCTTTCAGTCACGAAGGAAATTTAAAACATGCGGAATCACCGCTAAAGATGCTACTGCGTTGCACATTTCGAGTTCGAGCATGTAATTCACCTCGTAAATCAACTCTCATCGACTGCTGCTTTTGCTATTCTAGAACTGAGCAGGAAGGCTAGAGAGGGACTAGCACAGCACTGTGAGTTTTCATAGCCGCTTTTCGCAAAAACATCATTAGTATGAACTCATCGCTCATAACATATTATTATTGTTTTAGTTGAGAAGCAGCGTAAGAAGATGGAAAAGAAATATGAATTGTGAGTTAACTTGCGTCAATTTCAAAGACCTTCCACTCTTGTGCGTCCTCTTCTGGTACTTTGCCGCAAAATCTTCAATTTTCCATCAAGAACTTAAGTTTTGTAGCAGCTACTAACAAGATTTATACGCCTCATCAACTTGTACCTAATACATATACGAAATTTACGGTTTCGTTATTAATATTGAGGGTGGAAATGAGGTGAAATATAGCCAAAATTTGCAAAAATAAGACCAGAACTTATACTAATGCAAATTTTTCAATCGTACTTCTAAATTGAAAAATTAACAACATCCTAAATTTGATTAAAAAGTATAAAGAACGACTAATGGTAGGTGGTTTTCCCATTTATGGCTAAATAACGACCAGCTGCTATGTGTACGCAGTGAATTAGGAAGGAATTTCATAAAAGCGCTGAGCACGAGGAAACGTGATCCAAATACAACACAAGTAATGAACCGTTCGTTCTGAGTGATGATTACGAAAAGACAGGATGGTCGAATCAACCAATTAAGTCTAAAGTAGGTTTGAAGCACCAAGCACATCCTACAACTCAACTGATCTTCAGCCATCCGAACCAAACATAACCCACCTTCATGTGAAATCTCGAACCTAAATTTACATTACACAAAAAATAACAATAAGATTCAGAGCCTCTGAAACACCTATTTCTCGATCCACTTATTATTTCTCCAAGAAAACGACACTTCATGGCAATAAATTGGCAAAGATGGTGACACAGTGTTTCTGGCAGTTACGGTCAAGAAGCAAGCACACATGAGAAAAGCAAAGTCGCACAAATTCGCACTGAGTTCTTTTATTAATAAAATATTTCGATTATGTAAAACTAGAATGAAGAACGAAAAGGCGGAGGAGACTAATAGAGGTCGATTTCGAGCACATCGGCGTCATAATGACGACGGCAGGCGAAATCAATGGTGAGGCGAAGGCGACGGAACGCGAGACGCCACGCGTCGCCACCAGTCCTGCGTTCGAAACCAATCGCCTCCCCCTCGCCCTCAACAAGGCGCCTCAGGCCGCGCAGAAGAATACGCACCCGTGCAAGGTCCGTCGGCAAGATGGAGATGAGATAGTCAGCTAGCATGCATAGGTCCTCCTCCAGTGGATCTTAAGGTTGGAGGCAGATGAAAGTCAAATCAGACGCCGCATCTCAACTGACGATGATAAACGACTGCAACCAGCACACCTATTTAGGGATTTGTTCAGCCACATCTCCCGTATTCGAATAGTGAAAACATTTCCGAATTCATATAATATCTGCTACTACGAAAGTATTGAAAAGATCCACCAAAGATGGTGCAAAAAGTAGATTTTGTAACAAATGACACCGGTGTTTGAACGCACTGAATATGTGAAAAGGACTACGTTAGCGAGACGATAACCCAACAGTGTATGTTCACATCGTCCATGACACACCGTCCTATTAGGAATGAGTTAAATTCTGCAACCCATTAAACGACTTGAAAAGTCAAATAAAGAAAAAGTGCATTTGGAAGAAAAAAACCGCCCCAAACTTGAAACTCAAGAATTCTAACCAATAGTGGCCACGAATAATAAAAAGAAAAGCTTAAAAGTATATTACAATTTAAAATCCGGAATAAGCTGGAAACATCCCGATCAAAAAACGACACATAGGATGAAGATAATGGAGTTCCGGAAAGTAAATAGGTTACGCTCGTGAAGAAAAATCCTTAAACAGGTAAACAAAATCATTCTCGTTCTACATTTTTAGAAAGTTCACAATAGCAAAAACCAATCACCTCAATGCTTGCTATTAATTTAAATCAGTAGGCTGTGCTAACAATGAATAAAACGGGGCAGAGGACCTACTCGATTCCGTAGTGATCCACGTTGCGAACATGTTTTGCAATTCCTCCACCGACCTTTTGGCGAACACATTGACCTCCTCAAGCGGTCTGTTTTCTTGGTGTGGAAGGAGGTCCACCAGAGGTACCTATGAAGTACTGAACCATTGGTTGTGTTGACCGGAACAACTTAGATACACGGATGGGTCGAGCAACCTACATTTTCTTCCTCTTCCTGGTTACTTTCCGTGAGAAGCTTGTGCGGACTTTCTTGTTGTTCGATGGAATGAGCAGGACTGCTCGGTTCCTAAAAGTGTGCAAGAATGATATTTCCACGGATTAAAGCTTATAAAATCCAACGCGTTATTCAAAAATCTAAATGGAGCGCATAACTATGAACTTATTTTAAAACTAGTATTAGAGTACTATCCAGATTTGGAGTCCCTACTTAACCTTAGAATATATATCACGTTGCAAGTTTTAAAGGTTTCTAGAAGAAAAAAACGAGTCAAGCCAACATACCGGTTTCGTGTACACTTTGACTTTCGTACCTCTAACATGCAGAGCGATGTATTCATTTTACCAAGACCGGTAATGCTAGTTCAAATTAAGCAAAGGCGGTGTCCTTCGCCTTATCCGCCAGAGCAGGGAGTTGGTCGGGGTCTGTTGCAGCTTGTATCTAATACTGACGTCGATGGTGAACAGTGCATTGCCCTTAATCAGGTTATTTTCCTAAACTCCACGTTTTTCATTGTGGTTGCCTTGTCGTTGGTATTTTCATGCAGAGTACATTTAACAACAGCCTTACACTACTGTCAAATTAAAAGTAGACTTTCGGTTGAAATAGGCGAATCCAATTCGAGCAACAATCAACTGGCCTTAATCAAATCACAACAATGTCATCGTAACGGAGACAGCAAAAAATGGCGAAAGATTGAACCCGGAAATGACTTTATAACTTACCGATGGGGACAGGTGATCAAAATCAGCAGAAGGGGTTGACATTACATCACCGAAATCAGACAGAGAATCAGGGTCTTTGATGTCCTCATTTGAAGTGGATGAATTGTCAGTGTGGTTACTGCGATCAGGGAAATAGAACCACTTTCACTCATAATAGTGGTAGACAATTGATGTGAAGATGTATGGCTTACCTCTGGTCAAGATCTAGAGGCTTTAGGAATCGTGTGATCGACGAAGCTGTTTCTACGGGCGGATCACGTTTTGATTTGTCCCCCTCTAAACATGACTGGTTTTTCAACGGTGAGGAGGGTGAGAGACGCTGCATTTGAAGGCCCAGCTAGAATGTCATGAAACATTAACATGACAACATTTGAGGATTTAATCTGATCGGTTGATTTACTAATGACAAAGCATTTGAGAAATCGCCTTTATGAAAACGTAAATCAGTTGTCTATCGCTCGTTACCTCCATGAGGGGAGCCAGCGGTATTTGATTACCCAAAGAACTCAATTTAAAAAAAAATTGGGTTGTAAGCTAAATCTGGCTTTTAAATGTCACATCGTAACAGCATGAAAATGTCAGTGAACAAGGAACTAAACGACGACTTCTCACTTTAACTAGAGCAAACTCTACCGAAATACGGCAGATATGAATCACTTTCAAAAATAAGATTAATCTGGTGAAGACATGGGGGGCAAAAAATGAATGTACTATAAACCCGAAGTGGTGGGGAGAATCGATGACGCCAAGTATTGTAAATTAAACAGATATCTGAAGGGAAACGGAAAATAAACATTTGAGGACAAGGAAGCCAAATGCTGCATATCAATACATACACGGATTGCCAAACCTAGAGGTATCGTAAGATCTACCACGTCGCCAATTATACACTTCCCTAAAATCAGGTCTGACAAACATTAAAAATTTACTCACACCCATCGAAACAATGATACCCAAATCGTTCATACCCCGCGAATGTCACACGGATTGGGGTCGAGACGTCGAAGAACAGAGAGACAGGAGCTAGCGATAGACGTGGAATCTGCGGTGGCCTTGGAGAGTGGAACAATCCTCGTAAAATTATCGCATATCCCATGACCTGGAAGGAAGTAGTGAACATCAGCTGAAATTTTAATAATATAAGGCTCCTGCGATTGTTGTCCACTTCAATTTGAGTGATTTACGGCCAAGAAAAGCCCGCCAGCTAACCTAGAGGAGTGGGTCGCATGGTGATAATACTGAACAGTCTAGTACTAGACGGCCTTACTATCATCGAAACGCCATATAGGGGATAGGCTGAGGGGACGGAACGATCTAGCAGCTCTGCATATGAGCGTACACTAACATACGCATGCATCACTCCACCAGTTACCCTAAAAGCTGAACAGTGAAACTGCTATGGACTTCTTAGATAGGAGGAGAAGCGAAGCGGACATCTACCCAGGTACTTGGCTGACTCCACGGGCTGATCAGGCCTTCGAGTAAGGAGATGCACGGCAAGGCTCTTTCCTACCACGCCAAATCCTCGCTTTGACTCCGCGGCGGCGTTCCTTAATCGGGAAGAGAGCTCATTCGCCAAGTCACCCACGAATTTTTCTACTTCTGACCACTGGGGGGTTGAAAAGTCACATTTACTCAAGGCGTAGATGCAAGTTCGACAAAGAAAGCAATCAATGAGAAAAAAAGACATTACTGAAGATAAGCGGACACCGTAGTTTATCTCAGCCGAAATTGATTTGGCGTACCTGTCCAGGGTTAACTCAGATGAATCCTGAAAAAGAGACAGAAAACTAGAGAGCACTGTCACCGTCCCGTTCAAAACCTAACAGACCTTAACCACTGCCTCAAATAGAAATACAACTGGGTCAAAAATGATACCGATCTCTTATGTTGGCAATTATGATCGAAGAGCCTCCACGTTAAAATAAAACAAGACAGGGACGATTGTTCGTAATGGAAGCCCAGCTTTTGAGGGCCTTTTGAAATGACTCAAAATCTGAAATTTTTCATAATCGTTATCAACGTCTTACGAGACTAAAGTATACAACATATGCACAAATGGAACATACATTCCCTCGACAGAGCTGTAAAATTCTTTGACTTGTCTTCGCACCCAGCAAAGAAGACAGCTGAGTATGAGTGACTGCCTTCAGAAGTTGACCACACGTCAAGACGCCATAAGTCTGCGCGATTCGTTTAACCATGTGCCTTCCCACACCTAGATGAAGAAAAAACGGGGACACAAAATAAAACTTACGGAATAATACTTCTTAAAAATATTTTCTAATGGGTGAACATTTTCAGCCTCTCGAGATTGGAACATAGAATCCTTCTCACACCACCTATGGTACTAGTGTTCCTCGAGCCTTCGACACAATCACAATGATAATTACTTTCAGAGTCGATTCCTCCTCAGCGTCTACGGCGACAATTCAGTTCACAGTGGGTTTACTGCAAAAGAACCTCAATCCCAACTTAGCTGGTCCAGTGTATAAAAGGAAGGCTTTTGTTATCGATTGCTGAAGCTCTGGAGACCCGCAGCAGAAACGCTAACAAAACCGCGTTGGCTTTGGCAGTCACTCCAATTCTGATCTCTGCCCAACGATAATACAGAGACAGGAATTGAGCAAACTGGAATCATCTTCAGGAAGCAGAATATTTGCACAAAAGCGGCGACTCATGCATATAAATGCGAAAAATCATGCTGCAAGAGGTGAAAATTAAATCAGATGAGGAGGTAGTGGTATTGAAGTGACAACACGGTGAATGGGGATGATACAGGACGCAACTCTGAAAAGCTACCCGATATTACGTACTTTGTTAATGTTTACCTCTATTTCTAGATAAGTGTTCTCACTAAAAGCGATTGGTATGCTCTTGCTAGAATACGCCATCCAACCTTCAGGAATATTAAGAACAATGAATCCCCTCAATGCAGTTCGCAAAGGGGACATGTTCCAGGCGAAACCGTTGATGAACCCACTGCAAATACCTTACTTCTGTCAAATGATGAGGTTTAACTCAAATGAGCACAGTTGTACCAGCAACACCACTCAAAGTAGGATCAGAGCCAGGTAGCAGGATAACAACTATGCACGCCTTATCAGAACGCTACGATCTGATTTCGACGCTGGTGGCGTTAAGAGCTTTTCGTACTGCCAAATTTGCATGCCTAAAAACGTCAAGACGAACTTGGGCGCCAAAAAATACCAACGCGTTAGGATGTTCAGCATTACTGTTGAACACAAACACACGATTACACACCAGGTAGTTGTGAGAGAGGCAGATCATCCAGATAACGGCACCCATCCTGACTGGCGAGCTCGCAGATGCTCACTGTCGCGGACGACGATGAGGGCGGCGATGGGAGGTCGAGGCAGCGCCAAGCGGAGCCGAGAAGAAGAGCCTGGGAGTTGGGCTTAGCACGCTTCGTGGCGAGGCGGGCGAGGAGACGGTTGGTACCGAAGCCACAGGTCGCGGTGCATTGCGTCGCTGCGCGCACGTGCCTTCGCATAAGCGCTCCCAGAACCAGCGGACTCGTCAGACGGATGCCCGCCTTCTCCTTTCTCACCCCAAGCAATTCTGTCACGTCCACGTACATCTCATCACAACTGAGTGCCTCGATTTGCAAGCAGAATCTGTAAAGAGGCACCTCAGTAGGTGATGGGAGTTCCTCTCAAAATCAAAACTATTTTCCAATGAAACCGGACACTTAGACTGGGTGCCCTCGGTGAGAATTAAAAAAGCACATGAGCTTGTGTATTCGATATGGAAACACAATATCCTAATATGGGAAGAGGGTGCCAGGATACTGAAATAGACAATGCGAAGTAACAGAGTAAGGGTCACGAAAACCATTATTTTATACGCAATAGCATACACAGTAAAACAGGCTTCTAATCATATAAAGCTAAAGTAAATATTTGGTTTTGATGCTTTGATTTGCATTTGCCATTAAATCAGTGCAAATTTGAGTTAAACATCTGGGACCGCATAAACTTGAAAAAAAGGTCCACTAGTAACAGCTATAAAAGTGCGTAATTTAGTGATTTAGTACCAATTTTTTTAGGCGAACAGAAATGCTACTCCAGAAATACCATTATCACAAGAAACAGTTGATCGAAATAAGAGAAGCTCAAACAACAGGAAAGATGAAGAGCAATTCACCTGGAAACAGTTTTGTAGAGAACTTCAGCAACTTGGTAGAAAGCGTCGAATTCGTAGGGAACGGTTCTCAAATCGGGGCAGAGCTTACGAGCATCGCCGAGGTGCATCCCGTTAGTGACACCGAACTACAAGTACCAGTTCGGGATACTGGCTTAGCATTATCAAGCGAACGAAATAGTGGCATAAAAAGCGTATCAGAGATTACTCTTCTGGCCTCGTACGAGCACGAAGCAACCTCTGAAAGGGAACTAAAGAAACAAAAAAAAGGAAATTGGTATTAAATTAAAATAAGAGGCATCAAAGCAAATAGGGGGACTTACGATTTAGCCTTCGTCCCTTTATTGTGAGTTACTGCAACGGGGAGACCTAGTACCGTACAAAACAGTAAACAATATGCAGTCAGAGAAATGCGACATGAATAACTTTTACTGGCAATTAAACAAATTAGTTAATACGTAGGCTAAATTCGCCCAGTTTGTTTGAAACATAAAAAATCCAACGTGATGATAATTATCAATCAAGATTAGCAAATGAAGGGAAGATTCATATCTTGCAACTGGAAAATGAGACGTTAAGTAGATATCAAAGCTAATTACAAAAAAATTACCGAGAACTGAAATGTCCCATTGGACCGAGAGTTGGTGCCTGATTCAAAGTGTGTGTACCAAGTGTGAGCGCAACATTGTGAATATTCGAAACAAAATCAAGCCCCAAAAAACATGCATCAATGAAGAGAGGACATTAACTACCCAAAGTTAGTGCCGAATATCATGATCAAAATGAAAGTAAATGTATAGGTGTTGAAAGACGATATCTGACTCAAGGAATACATTAAAGTTGCAATGTTGAAGAAAATTATGATGTAAAATATTGTAGCCACCAACTGAGGAAATAGTGCAGTAGTGCAGAAGAGTGCAAAAGCTAAACGATGATCTAGTACTTGATTTCACGGGTTCTATTAAAGGAAACAGCTAAAAATAATAAATTTGCCTCCAAATATTCACTTTAGCTATCAATTTAACTGGTCTTCCACTCCCAATGACTATTTCTCCTACGACGAGAAATAGTGACTGTCACCCCAGAAACCAATAGAAATAACAATTAGAAAGCTGGAGCAATTAAATTTTATAGCGCGCGCCTACCTACGAGTTCAGGTCGGCGTCTCAGACAGACAGACACGAAGAAGCAATCCATGTCGATGTGCATGAGGAGACGGGGAAGTAGCGGACGTGCGTCAGCAGCGGATGAGCCAACGGTTTGCAATACCAATTCTGTCGGCTCCCCTGCCGCCTGGAGACGCTGTACCTCTGCACGTAGCAACTCTGTACCGTCTGCACCACTTCCCCCCTGCGCCTGGAGGCGTAGTGAGCGCACGAGGTAGCGCAGATCTGCCGCCCACTTCGAGAGGTGATGGAGACGCGAGCGCGAGTAGTACCGCCGGATGTAGTCATCGCTTGTGGTCGGCAACACGGTCCCCTCCCTCTCCTTTACCTGGGAAAGTAAAAGGAACATTGCAAAACAGGTGAATTTGAGGATTTCTCCCAACACTTTTGCTATCAGTATCACATACGTGACATCACGCCTCTCTTATCTGAAGTAGCTCGCCATGCATGACGAAATTAGTGAATAGGACCAGGAAAAAGATGGGAATAAATAGTAGGTCACCATAACACATTACATGCATAGTGCACAGATATCGTCTATTCTTAGTTGGGAAAAGGCAGGCGGATGTGTACGGGCAGACAGAGGAGACAGAGAAAAGGAACGCGGGCAGGCATGTGCACGTGACCCTCACCTTCCCTGTACATTCATGGACAAACATGTTTTTGGGATAAAAGTACAAAAAAGGCCCTAGCTATACATGCGACCGCAGAGATGCGGTCACAAAAAATTGCAACGGGGAGGGGTTAACACTAAATTGACGGCGCGAACTACCACTTGGCCACACATCCTTGAAACACTGCTTGAACCATAAAATTGACCAATCAATTTGTCAAATGTATTTGTGATGGCAGTCACATGTCCAGGATGACTAAGCCTTGCACCCTAGGGTTAGTCACCACATTTCCAGGATTGATCATGATGTTGACCGTGACGTCGAGATAGGCGTCAGTTTTTATTTCAAGACATACCTTTTGAACCCAGAAAGATTGTGAAGTTACTGGGTTGCTAATGCTATAGGAGTCCACAATGTGCATAATCAGAATGATTTTGTTACAACAGTCCATTTATCAGATAAGGATTGGGGAAACAATACAAAAAAAGAGAGGTTTGCATTTCATAAGCAAATTTCCAAGGGGAAAGTACAGGGAAAGTCGAGAAATGAAAAAAATGACGTTTACCTGATCTCCCTTGGGAGAGTCGGTGACAGCCTTGGACGGGAGGCTGTCTCGTGAGGCGTCCTACATTATGAAGGAGTTGAGAATTAAAGAACATCCTACTAGTACAAATAATTACTCATCCATCAAATAAAAGAATTGAAAAATGCCTTATCGGTAGAGCTTCAATGCGAAGGGAAGTGAGATCAAAAAGCACCACAACCACCAAAATTCATGTTGATTCAGGCATCAGTGCTTAGCACAAGTAGTTCTAGTAAGAGCTACTTTAAGAAAGCGCAAGTGTGTTTACCGAACTTGAATCATCAGAACCGGCAGATATGACGGTAGAGAAATCATGTCCGGACATGAGGTCGTTCCAGCTCGCAAGATCATCGTTTTTACTGACCTCAGAGACTTGGTCAAGTATTTTCCCAAGCGCTCTAGTGGAAAACAGAACGTTAATCTGAACTAGCCTTTGGGGAAGTGGTTTAAAGTGATGACTTACACGTCTGATGAAACCGACTGTTCTACAGTTGATTCTGCTACTTCGAATAAAATGAAAAAAGGCAACCGTTAAACTGTGAAAAAATCCAGCGACAAATTTCAAATACACAGTTAAGAATTCAGGTAATTTCATCCTTCAAAAAAAAGCGAAGTTACCCAGGTTCGTCGACCTTTCTTTGATCCCAGGAAGAGTATTTTGTCCTTTTAGTTCTCCTTCGGAGGGATAGAGCACAAAATTCTTCCATGGTAAGAGCTGACCAGCTGCAATACTGGCATTTAGACGAAACAGAGATTAAATATTGCCAGTAAGTGGGGAAATTCGTTAGAGTAAGTTAAGAAACGACCGCATAGAACACGAAGACTAGCAACGATGGGTGGCAAAATGAATAACACAAACACCATCAAAGAAATTTATGAAGCTTTGTGGAGCTAAAACTGACAGGAATGCCGAACCTTTCGGTAATCCAAGAGGCTCTGACCACCTTTTGATTGCCAATCTTCTTGATCTTACTCAGGGGCAGATTTGCAGCGACCATAAAATCTCCGGCAGACTGTGAGTAGTATTGCACAAATGTCCCACCATTTTCCTGAACCAACCGCCTTATTTCCAGGGCTGGTGGTTCTGAATGGTGTCAGAGTTCAACGACAAGATACTACCTGTATGGCCATTCACGAAAACACGAATTCCAGAGAAGATTAAAGTTTTCTGACCATTCTCAGCAAACTGTGCCTCCAATTTGCGGATTTTGGCACTCATGTACCCTCCCTGTGCAGATCAAGAATTACGGTTGCGTACCTGATCATCCCAGCCAGCGCTTGCTCCGTCGCGACGGTCTCTAAAACTCCGTCTAGTTTGACGCATTCCGAACTAAGTGAATGTAGGGAAAGTTAAAGGTACCCAAACTAATCTCTACAAGTAAGACCGCCGGGGAACCATCGGAAAAACTACTTGAATTTAACAGAAGTGGATCAAATGGATCGATGCAAATGAGTCTTAGTTTCTTTAGCACAAACCAGACCTTTCTGGGCAAAGCAGAACGGCACAAAATCGCACTGAAAGCCGAAAACATAAAGTGAAGGCACTCAAATAACACCCACGAAAATGACTTTAAGCTACAACGGCACTTATCTGTTTAAGGGGAATATGCCAGCTCCGAGACTATCCGAAAAGAAATTAACATTCCAAGCCTAACATTCCCGTAACGAATAGCACCCCAGTTGGACAATAGAAATAACTAAGTGCTTCCATCAAACACCATCGTCACCGTTAAATTCAGATGAAAGCAAATTACGGAAATGAAAAACCAATTAGACCTGGAATTTCAAAAAACGTGAGGCCGAAACAAACACTCTTCACATCGAACCAGAAGAAATAAGCATCTAATGAAGTAGAGTAAACAACCATCTCACATCGACAAAAGAAAGAAGTGGCAAAATGATACAAAGCCTATAAGGCAGCAAATCCACAAACTACAAAGGAGATCCTTAATTTAAGAGACACGCGCTAATTTGCATTCACGTCCAAGTAGGGTAACTATTGTCTACCAATGTGCCAACAGGACCTGTGTCTGCTTACATTGTGCCAATGCTAAAATCAAATATAAGATTTGCATCCCCTACTACATAGTAAACCAACCCAACACAAACCGCAATACAAATATCGCGCACCAAATCTGACCTAATGATTTATCCCTTAAAACATACCTTGTCGTTTTTGAATAGGTGCAGTGGTAGCACATACAGATTGTGCATATAATTTGTAAGGACGACAAATTTTAACTATGATTGCAAGAAGCAACAACGGATCATCCTTAGCCGACTCGCACCGTATAATTGATGATGTGGATTTGGTACTGCCAATTGCAGCCAGTTGCTTTCAGGAAGTAAGGAGGTTGATGGAAGAAGACTACCCGTTTTTGTCTAAAAAGCATGATTTGAAGTGAATGCATTCTTGGCATTTCCTGAAATAGGAATGTGATCATGTACAACAGATCTGTAGAAGTTACTTAAGAATTATATTTAAGCAAAGTCATGAGTGGCTGTTTCGATAACACTGAAGTAAACCATATAACTGAGTTGAAAACTGACATATTAGAACTACAATTAGTTACAGCACTCTTTGTATCGTCGTTTTGTTTTCACATACATCCTCCTTTCACATTGTAAGTTAATGCGTTCGTTTGGTTTCCTATCAATGAATTTTGGTTAAAAATTCAAGGTTTGGTGTCTTAAATTCAACATCACCACTTCTGTGCCTGATTTTTTAAGATGCCCCTTGGGTATTCATTAACAGTTTTATAAACAGCATCCTGCCCAACTGGATTGTGCTGTTTGTGTGCACCGATAGTTTTCACGCCGTCCTTTTGGTACGGGTGTTGTGCGCACCGATGCGTCGAATTTAGCCAGCAAGCTCCTCTGAATTGTTTGTGAAGATGGCGCATTCTTTTATTTCTTCTTTTGAGGATCTGCTAAAGTGGAAACCAAGCGGTCAAACGTGTCACCAGTCGCTTCGACTTTTAAGCAGTAATGGAGTCGTGGATGGTATTGGTGAAACCTAATTGAGACTTATATTTGCAGAATTTGGCACATTTAAACGCCCATCAAGAACACCATTAGTGGTATTTTGTCATGATATGGCTGGAGGATACCATGAGTACGACGTCACCGTCGAAAAAATACACGACTTTCCTACCTACCGTTTTATTCATTGGAACCTGATTGATGTATTTGTTTACTTTAGTCATCACTTTGTTACAATACCACCGGTCTCTTGGATAAACATTGCTCATCGGTGAGCAAATCTTACTTTTCACATTACGACTGATTACTTTATAGTCGTGCGGTAATTGATTACGATGCATTTCCTTTAGGAACAATGTTAGTGTCTATGGTACTGTGATAATAGAACTTGATAGAAAGAGCCCATGCCCGGCTTTCAACGCAATTTTCGACATTAATACCAAGGAGTGTTGTATTGGTCATCCATCTCAGTTCGCTCAGAAGCTGGATACTCTGCGCCGGCACTATGGTTTCGAAGGTTGGCTGATTAACTTTGAGAGTTGTTTTTTTGATGTGGGTTTTTGTAACATTTCTCAAAGATTTATGTAGACAGCAGGGAGAAGGGTCTTCCAGAGAGTTCTTCATTTTTTAAGATGTCTTAAGTCTTTGGGATCCGAGGTATTATGGTAGGGCTGTTTCCCAGATACTATCCTCTTAGGTACGACGCTGTCACAAAAAATGGAGCGCTAGATTGGCAGAATGCACTGAGTCCGGGAAACAGTCATTTCTTTCGTTCCTGCTTTGATGGCATTTTTCTTAATTATTCGTGGACGCCAGAGCTCCTTGCGTTTACCCAGAATCAGTATGTTTGCTCAAATGTGCGAGCCTAACCATTATTTTTATATTTTGGCAAATCTGAGTAATCATGTTCCTCATTTGCTTTCTTAAATGAACCCTCATCGTGCCAATTCAGGAAATTTGTTTTTTTTTCCTGCGTACGATGTCTTTTCTTAAAAAATCAAGTTGCTGGGTTGTATAATGCAATTTTCCATCTGCTAATTTAGGGCAATGAGCACTGATGAATCGATGAGGATTTTTGTCGGGGTCGATTGTTTTGGCCGAGGATGTCCCGGGGGTGGTGGGTTCGGCACAAAGGAAGCTTTGGAACTCATTATCAAAGCGTCGGTAAGCCTTCAATCTTGGAGTTGTTGGAGCCACTGTTCCACAAAGTTTCATCACTGCCTTAAACTTTACATCGAATCGGTTCGCTCAAATACTACCTATGCTTTCAGGAGTTGCGGCCTGACCGTCCTTTGTCCGTGGCTTTATTCGCTCCGGCCTGGTCCTTTGAGAAGCGGAGGGAGTTGGATCCTCTTTCCGGCAGTGAAGACATTGCTGGCGAAGTCACGAGCATCTTCCAACTCGATTATCGCTTTTGGAGCCCCTTAATGCCACTAATATCTCGAATTCGAGCTTCTGGCACTTTGAGTCGGCATTTCTATCGTCCATTGAGTCCTTGGAGTGGCTACTTTCATAGTAATCTTTCCTTGGGGTTGGGATTATTCGATGGGCACTCGAGTATTTTCAGTCCGTGGAGCCGTTTGGCTGAACAGCAGGTGGGTTCTGCATTTCTTGTTACTGCAAACTTACCTCCCGTAGGTACTGCCCACCTGCCGCGTTCTTTCCAATGAACTGAGCGGGACTGAAGAGAAGGGTTTCACTGTCAAGGTTTGTTAGATTTATTTTCTCTTCCGACAACGAGTTTTGTAATTACTATCATCATGCTTATTTGCCACCATTTAGCATTCTTCTTGAGGTGCTTGAAAATGATGTGCTACGATTCTGTGTTGGTGAAATCACAGAAAAACGTAGACCATTTGGCATTGTTGTTCAGTAGACTTCATTTATTAGTTAAGACTTTCCGATATTGTTTCTTGCTCCGGATAAGTGCTTGCAATTTTCTACTTTTTTAGTGCACAAAATACTTTCCAAGAGTCTATAGATTTATCTGTTAGTAATTTGTACACACTCTCATTTCATAGGTGATGCCTGATTTCATGGATTATTATTCTCCTGGTAGCAGTCTGCGCCTTCACATCACCCCGTCTGGCGGTGTGAAGAAGAGTCTGGTTCTTGAACTTTTTCTGTTTCCAAACCTCTCACTTTCCTCCATCGCTACGCTAACAATAATTATGCAAATCGAAAATGGTAGAAGTTCTGTGAAGGTGTTTGCGGACCTTTGCACTATTTCTTGGGATTTAGTCTATGTAACTGAAGAATATCCTGTTACAGGTAGACAGTACCTTGGATTTGAAGGTGAGCCAATGTGTAACCCGCAAATTAACAAAACGTGGTTCATGCGTTGTTATCAGTGTAACTGCATAAAGTGCGGAGTATGACTTAGGTTTGCTGGTTTTGGGTGTCTGGCTGCTTCCTCCAGCTGCCAGATTTGGAAGTCAGCAAAACGGACCGGTTAATGTTGGGCGAGAGTAGGCATTTATGTGCTAGAGTGCTGCACATGCGTGCGGTCTGCCGATGCTATACTGTTTTGCAAGTTCATTCATTCAACCGCACATTAACACCTCTAACCATAATGAATTCACTTTTACGTTGGTTGATGAATGGAATTCGTGTAATACATTCAAAAGCATACTCACACTATCTTTTTGAAACTATCTTATTCACTTCGTGTACTGTTTTTCGACTTAAAGGGCATTCTTTAGCCAGATTGCTGATTCCCGCTCCCTAAAGGGCACTTCAGACAGCCCACATTAGGGGTCAGCAAAATGCAATGTGTGGAAATTTTGACACATGCGTTAATCCGCATGTCCGATTGGTTTCCTACAATCCTTTCTAAGTTCCAAAGTAATCCACTTTTTTCCAGGGAACCGTTCAAATGTCTGTAACATGGAGGCTCTAGAGTCTCATGCGCTCGATGTCGAGCGTTGCGTATTTCGACTGTTTTTTGTAGTTGGAAACTGAATATTTTAGTTAAAGGTTTAATTGCTCCTTGTCATTCATCCATAGCTGTTTCCCTTGCCTGGCTGTATCATTACTGCATTAAACCGCCGCTGAAGTGCATAGTTATGGCCAGTTTGCATGACAAAACTCGAGGGGGTACGCCTTTTAAGGAGTTTAAGCACATCTATTTCCTAAGGCTCCCACGTTTTATTTCCTGGATGGTTTCTCTTTTGATGCATTAGTGAAATTTGTGTCTTAGAGGTAGACTAATTATGCCCGAAGTTAGAGCCGATATGCGAGATTTTACGTAATTTTACCCCTGTATTATCAGTTTTATAATCCGAACGTCCTAGTTTTGAGTCGAAAACTGTCTTGACTTTAAACCACGCCTTGCCATGGTCAGGGCGCGTAGTGAAATAGAACTGATGTGCTTGGGAGGAGCTGCTTAAGTGGATGATTCCTTCTGAAGAAGCTCTCTGCCGCCAAACTTGCTCCCTAATGCTCCCAATCATCTCTACTTACTTTTTTTTAGCTTTTTAATATTAACTTCTTGACGTAAGACTAATTGCCGGTTTATTAAATCTGAGGACAACTTTGGGCAATCAGATATGGGGATCGTAAAAATAATTTGGATGGAGGTTTTTTGACCTTTGTGTACCCGATTGGCTTCTCACGCGAAATTTCTCTCAAAGTAGCTCTCCACACACACGTCTTTTATACCTACGCGGTCTCCAACGCTCACATGTCATGTTTGAGTTCGATGACACGAAATCGTTAACCGACGTCATACCAAATTGCTCCCATCTAATGATGGCATTCCTTTTATAAGATCTGTTTTAATTGGAATTTTCATTATTAAGTATTTCTGCTATTTTGTCCAACTGCTCAAGTCGTTACAAAGGTAAACCGCTGCATGTTTTAAAATAATGTACCGTCGCGGCATTAAACCGTGACAGAAGGCCCTTGTCACGGTCAGTACACGCGGCGTAAAGTGAAGAGGTGTGCCCTTTTAAAGGGTCCAAATAACATTTGGTTCCTGAGGCGCATTTCGACATTTTGTCACTAAGCCATTTATTAGAAAAAAAAACTGACTCGTGTTTATCGCGAGGGGAAATCTTAGTCATTTAGCCATAGTGCTTGGTCTATTGCGGGGTATTCCGTGCAATTTCACGTCTACAGAATGCCCTTGCGGCTTTAGCGCTTTATTTTCGAGTCGATAGCTTCGTTGCATCATTGAACCCTGCCAGAGGTGAGTACGACGGGAATAGCAATGAACTGCTTGTGCGAGAGCTGGTTAGGTGATTTTTCTTTTCCAAAGACATGCGCTAACACCAAAATCGCCAAAATCCAATTATCGCCGTTTTAAGCATTGAAGTCGTTGTGACACGGCTAGTTACCAAATCGGTGTTTAAAGCCGACATCGAACCGTCTCAGTTTGGAACCAGGAAAATAGCGTTTTTCGGCACATGCACTCATCCACATGTCCGATTGGTTCCATGTACTTCATTTTCGATTTCAAAGCCCGTTCTCTTACTACACGATGTCTCTCTGCGAGGGTATGTTAACCTCTGATTTTTGACATCGGTTCCATAATTCTGATAATTAACATTTTGCTGAATGTCACCTGGTTTACAGTTTTCCATCTAGTCTTTGAACTGTTTTTGAGCCAACAGTCTTGTTACGGATGTACTAGTCTGTTAAATGTGTAACTACTGTATTACCATCTTTTGGAGGGATGCATCGTCGTGGCATTAAACTACAACAGAAAGGCCCTGTTGTGGTCAGTACGCACGGCGAAAATTGTAAGAGTGCTTTTGAGGAGGAGCTGTTTAGGTGAAGGCTTCTCCCAAAGGCGCACTCTAACACCTAGTTCCTTTTGTCTTCCCAAACATCTGTTTGAACATTCTTACCAAATATTTTTGTATTTTCGCAGACTGAAGTGCACGTCTACTTTGTGTTCTAATTCCAAATTGTTGTATACGCCATTGTTCTGGGGTTGATGTTTTCATGTTACACTGCTTAAACAGAAAATAATGTTGATTGTAAAGCATGGCTTTTTTTTGTAGAAATAAAGAAATACAGCTTCAATGGCTCTTTATGGGAATGTTTGTCGGCTAATGTCGGGGCCCAGTTATTACCTCTCTGCGATCGGGATCATGTTACCTTCGTCAGACGGATCGGACTTGAAATCGATGACCCTCCAGATACATTCCTACTCGGCGGTTTTACATTGTCTGACTCTCAACTCTGTCTTCTGTGATCCCACCTCGTTGCAATAAACATCTTGTAATTTTGTTCTCACTTTCTTTCGTTAACTCCGGTTGTTATTGCGATATTATAATAACTAGCGTGAAGGTTTGTTTGCCTATAGCGCCGCATTTCAATTGAGGTCTTGATGTAAGCTTGCGTTTATTCACCGGCAATTTTGGCTCAACTGTCGTGGGTAGCAATGACGGCGGGTGTGCTTGACCTTTAGGCCCTACGTTTCTCCGGTCGTCGTTTGGCCTGGCTTCTGGCCGTGGAGCGCGGAGACGTGCGTTGCCTTTCCTCCTTCCAGCATGGTGACCACGCCTCGCCCCACTTGCAGTCGGTGGGTCTCGCAGCCAACCAGCTGCTGATGCACGTGCCGCGTCTGCCACAGAAGCTACGTCGTGGTGAGGGCCTGGGTGGCGGACCTACAGGGCGCATTTCCTGGCTCCGTCGCTGTGTTAGCGCCCTCGTTGACGAAGAGCGTATCGAGCTCCCCTGGCCCATCGCTCTGGAGACGCGGCAGTACGCCGAGCGTCTTATTCAGGAGGCGGTGCGTACCGAACTTGTCACCCCTGATTTGTCCCAGATTTCGTCTTTAGAGGATCTGCTTCACCCGCCCTGGAACGAATATCCTGAGCTCTCTGCTCTGCTGGAGTTGTCTGCATTCTGGCTTCAGAAACAAGAACTTGTAACCAAACTACTTAGGGTTGGTTAATTTCACCGACTGCTAGGCACTTAACACTAGCCTTTTCCGATTTTTCACACTGTTGGGTTTTTTTTCACCAGGTTCTCGTCCCCCGCTACCGATTTTACAATCGATCATATACACGTATGTTCCGCCTGCAGCGTCCACCATACCCGAATCAGGATGCTTTCATTATGCAAGGATTTGGAGTGCTGGAGCTTCATGGCAATCCCTGGCCGCCCATTGGAAAGCCAAACTTGCCGAAGCACGTTGAGGGAGAGGCTGGATCGTCGGTCTCCGTGGAGCCCTTCAAAAATAAGTACTTCATCAATGTGCTTGTCTCCGCCGCCCGTGAAGCTAGTCAAAACTCTAAGAAATCTCAATGATCTTGTCAGTTTGCTTTGAAATAAAAAACCTTTTGTACAGTCTTTAGCGTTGTCTGGTACTACCTTCAGTAAAAACTAGTTTTCATTCAGATATTTGTGCATGATGTTTTAAAGTAGATTTAAATGGGAAAAATTCTTTTGTTCACGTAGAAATCTTACATTAGGATGCTTATCTGATTTGCTACAAGTGGAAGAAACTGTAGAGCATCTGCATTCAAAATCAACTTTTTAAAATGTGCATGAATTCTTTGATTAATGATGAAGCAGATTTCCCCAGATCAAAAGCTGTTTTTCGGCACATTAAATTCAGAGGGGATAAAATTTCTTTTTTTTTCACGCCTTTTGCGTCAACGCATTATGTCTAAGTGATTCTCTGAGGCTGCCTTTTGCAGGGAATAATTGATAAAACTGTTAAACTATTAAATTTAATTTAAAACTCAAGCATGTTGGCCGCTTTGTACACAAAGCGTTAGTATGTGCGTGGGCTTCATTCATGTCTCCCATCGCATTAGCCAAATTCTGTGTATGTTAATGAAGTAGATGGGGTTTGGAGGGTCACAAACGTGAAAATGGATGCTTAGAAGCCTCGTTCAACTGGGAGTACACGGTCGGTAAGCCGTAATGCGGTTCGGCAGTGGTGGGCTGCTGCGTCCGCTTGGTTGAGGTACAAGTAGAATCTCGTCTTCTGGGTAACATTTGGTCACATTTTGTAACTCAAGTATCGTCCTTGTTTGTGGTACTGAATTCAAACCCTAAATTATGGAGGTTTTTTTTGCACCACAGCTCCTGGGTCCAATGCTGCGTTCAGTTGTTTCGCGACATCATCCTTTCCATTCTGCGTCAACCACGGTAACTCATCATCCGGCTTTAAATCTAATTGGTGAGAATGGGTTTTATATCGCTTTGTTCAAATATTCGCTCAGTAAAATGAATGACTGTGTTATTTACAGAAACGCAGAAAACCTATCAGCCCAGCGTTGTTGAAGATCCAAAAGTATGTGCGCCACTGTGGAGAGCGGCAATGGATTCACGAAAATCTTCAAATACCAGCGTATGCACGTTTGCAGTCGACCAGGTTCAGCTCATTTGTATTTTTCTTTTAGCGGAAGAAGTTTAGTATGATCCTTCCTCCTCCTAATATCACAGGAGACCTTCATCTCGGCCATGCTCTGACCGTTTCCATCCAAGATGCCATTTGTCGATGGTATGTTCATGCCCACTTCCAATTTGCCATGTCTTTCTTAGAAAGAGTTCTGTGCTATGCTCACTGATCAGCTATTTTTAATAGATTAAATATTTCCAGTAGTCGGCATAACCGGGACACGTATAGCAACTTGTCTGAAGTTGCTAACGCTAATAGTTAAAACTAGAGTTTCGTTACGTCTCTAATCAAGGCACGTTTTTCGGATGCATTATGTTCGTTCTATTGTCCCACTGGGAGATTCAAACGTTTGATCTCCCTCAATATATTACTTGATGCTTTTTAAATTGCGACCATTGTCTTAAATTTATTTGAGCACATCACGCGACCTTTTTTTTCCTTAATTTAAGGCAATTTATGCAGGGAAGAGACGTAGCCTGGATACCGGGATTGGACCATGCAGGTCTTGCAACCGAGATGACGGTCGAACGCTATCTCGCGAAGCAGATGAAGACGCCGGGTTCTACCGATCTGCGTCGTAGCCTCGGTCGAGAGGCCTTCATCGAGGAGATTTGGCGCTGGAAAGAGTCGTGAGCCCCTTCCAACTACTCTCCTTTTTGTCTTGCACATATCTACAAGCGAGATTATCAGTCATCCCTGACTTTCATATGAGATACGATGGCAAAAAAATTGTTTAGGGCTTGACAGTAATATGGTGTTGTGCATGAACTGTAGTTGCTTCTGACTACTCCATGCCTGTCGGAAGTGGAGCCTCTGTTAGCTGTTGTAAATTATACTCTTACCGAAATCGACGAAATGACAATATCTACATTTTATTGTTTTTACAGCGTTTCAGTAAATACTCTCAGGCCATGTCCGTATCACTTTATATTCTTAATAATGTAGGTTTTTCCACGATATTTACTGCTTTGGGAGAACTTTTAATTTTAAACATCTAATACCCTTTCTATCCCCCACAGGGATGTCGTTTTTTTCTTTCCATTTATTATCATTCAATCTATCCACTTTGAGAATTTCCTCAAATTTTAGTAAGAAAAGTTCAATATTGAATCAGTTGAACCGACTGGGTCTTTTACTGGACTGGAACGCGGAATATTTCACATTTAGTCCCGTAAGGCATTCGTTTTGTTGACTCGAACTAAGATTTCTTTTTCTTGTAGGAGCACAGCAAAGCTGTGAATGAAGCTCTTTTTCGTCTCAGCAAAGCCGGTCTTCTCTACCGTACCAAAAGTCTCATCTCCTGGTGCTGCCACCTCCAATCAGCCATTTCTGATATCGAGGTGCGTCTCCCGCTTCACTGATTATTACACGGGCCAGCGCGTATCAGAACTGATCTAACACAAACTGGACTGAACTTCGTCTGTTCCATGCGTTCTCTTTATAGATATCCTAATCGATGTCTTTCTAAAGTTGCAACATTCACTTTTGTTTTATTCTGTTGGGTTTTTTTCACCTTTCACTGCCTCAGGTTGAACGCAAAGAAATCACGAAGTTCACAATGTTGCCTGTTCCCGGGTATGCTGAAGAGCAGGCCTTTGGATACGTCGACGTTTTTGACTACAAATTAATTGATGGGTGCGGAAAATTGTTTACTTTATAGACGAATTAGCTTAAGTCTTCTCATTTTCTTGCTGTGCTTTTTTCTCTCATTGTGCTTCACAGGACATCACACTTGAGCTATTTTTGTCCTTGTTACTTTCCAGACTGGGTAGTGTTCCGGTTGCCACTGCGCGCCTCGAAACAATTCTGGGTGATACCGCTTTGGCTGTTCACCCCAACGACGTGAGGTATGCCCACCTTATTGGTAAATTTGTGGAGCATCCCTTCATCAAGAACCGAATCATTCCCATTATTGCTGACGCCAAGCACGTAGACCCCAACCAGGGCACAGGTGAGGAAATCGAACTCTTCTACGACTTCTCATTTATGTTGTTTGACTTTCTTCTTTCTCGGTCAGCATTATTCATCTTTTGCTGTATGCCGACGTAGCTAAACTGGACGTCACTCGTTGCTTGAAACAAACATGTACCTAATTTTTGTACTCCTTCTATGAGCTGAAACGCTCTGAACCAACGTGTTTTAGAATTAACGTTTTGAGTTGTCAACATATATATCGTGGCAGTTTTTCTCCAAACGGTTTTAATATCATTTTGTCAGAAGTGCGAAGAATTAAAGTGGTAAATTTGATTATATACTACTTTTAATCGTGTCTTTCAATGAAATACACACCAAGTCAGAATGCATTTAAATCGAGTTATTCTATTCATCTTTGCTACCGAGTACGTTGGCTTCAACCTAGTTGGGTGAGAAGAGAGGCGTTTTGCGACTTTGATGGATACGGTTTAATTTCATTTATTTCCATTTCAACTTTACTTTTGGATGTCTTTTTTTTTAAACTAAAATAGGCCCTTGTTTACTTTTTTCTTATTCAGTCGGCACTGATCACGTTGTATCGGGATTTCAGGAGGTTGTATAAGGGTAGAAGTTCCGTTGTTTTTACTTTTCCCCATGTCTTGTAGTAAAACGAAATGCTTGCTTTAAACACGCGGTGTTTAGTTTCACGGGCCATTTGCCTTGCAAAGGGATTAGTGTACAATGAATAAAACTTTCATGTTGGATAAGTAGTATGAGATTGTGTCTTTCAGGCGTTGTGAAGGTGAGCCCGGGTCACAGCGCTGTGGACTTCGAAATGGCGGAGGGCGGGAGATGCCTGGAGGTAGTGAATATTCTTGCGGACGATGGCAGCCTCAACGCGGTGTGTGGCGAATTTGCAGGCCTGCCGCGGTTCGAGGCTCGCACGCTTGTGGCCCAGCGTTTGGCCGCAATGGGCCTGTACCGTGGACGTTTTGGCATCGGGGAGGCCAATGAATTCCTCGCCTCTGTCACCCCTATGAGCCTACCTGTCTGCTCACGCTCTGGTGACATCATTGAACCGCTTCTCCGAGAACAGTGGTTCATCGACACCTCTGTCATGGCCACTGCTGCCTTCAAGGCAAGCATCTCTTGCTCTATTTATTTTGTAAATCTATCAAAGATCGGAGGGCCATGAGAGTATGCGCACTTACTATGGGTCCCATGGTTATAGGCTAACGTGAGTGGTGCGTTGCGCATCTCACCGCACTTTTACGAGGCTACCTGGCGTGATTGGCTAGCGTCGGAGCGACATCGTGATTGGTGCATCAGCCGACAAGTGTGGTGGGGTCACCGCATTCCTGCCTACCGCATACCAGAGGAGCACAGACCGCAGGTTAATGCCGTAGCATTAGGTTTACTCGCTCCCCCTTCCTCATTGATAATTTCAAATTGGATTTCTACTTTGAGGTTTTCATACCTTTGAATCTGTTGTTTAAGTCAAGGGATTCGGTTTCGTCAACCTCGGACTGGGTCATCGCTCGTGACCTCGACGAGGCTCGTAGATTGATCGCTGAACGGTGCAACTGCAGTATCAACGAGGTGCCTGTCAATTTAGAACAAGGTAATCCATGAGGACTGATTGGCAATTAATTAAATTTGTTAAATCTTCATCCATTGCTATTTATGGCTTGCATCCAAATACACTGTGAAGGGACTAATTTGAAAACGCGTTTAGTTGTGCTATTTTGTTTACTCTGTGTATAAACAAGTGAGTAAATGGATTTTGCGGGGCATAATGAAAAGTATTCAAGCCGAAAACAAATGATACTTGAGAGCTCTTTACGGTACTAAATCGGCAGTATGATACTACGTCCCCCATAAAAGTGTTTTCTTTACAGACACGGATGTTTTAGACACCTGGTTCAGTTCTTCTCTTCTCCCCTTTACTGCTTTTGGCTGGCCACAAGAGGTATGTTAGACTGGCTGAATGCATTCATCGTCGGTACAACGTCTGATAGTTTGCTTATTCTTGTGTCATTGGTGTTCAGCTGATCCTACTTATAAATCATTAATATTTCATTAGTGCTCCTGAATTCTAGTGGCTTATTTTGCTTTTTGAAGAGTCGTGGACTGGCTAGGAACTACCCACTGGACTTGATGGAAACGGGGCAAGATATTCTCTTTTTTTGGGTCGCAAGGATGGCCATGCTGGGGATTCATCTTACTGGTCAAATTCCTTTTAAGCATGTTCGTCTATTCCCATTTTACTCTATCTCAATGGCTTTTCGAGATTCACTTGTTGCTTTAAATGGCTCATTGAAAGGTGCACACTAGCAAAGTGGTTGCAGTCAATTTTTATCACAACTTGTACAATGCGCTGGCTCCGTTACATCGATTGTCTTCTACATCAGTATGGCAGCTCTTCCGGTCAATACGTTTATTAATGCTTTTTGCGGTTACGGTTCGAGAACATCACAGACATAGAATTGGTTGGAATTGTGCACGTGTCCACTCTTCACCTTTTAATCCGATTTCTTAATGTTTCGCTAAAGAAGTGTCAATAATTTATTATCTGACCGCCAAAATGAGCCGTCAGTGTGATGCTTTAATTGACGTGATTTTGATTACAGATATTTGCCGAATTTCACGATTTACTAGATAATTGATGTTGAGCAACTGATTGATTTTAATTAAGGGTATCATCCCTTCCTCACGTGCTCACAGGTTCTTCTTCACGGTCTAATCTGCGATGGCAATGGCCAGAAGATGTCCAAAAGCAAAGGCAACACAATCGATCCCCTCAACTTGATTGATGGTGTCGGAAATCTCAAACCTGTACGTTTACACACGATTGAAATGCTCCTTCTTTTCTGCCTGCTTTTTTCAGCTTACAGCGATAGATTGCATAAACCCAGCTTCGGTTGAGATTTTTTTAGACATTTGACGCCTGTTATTTCATGGACGTACCTCCTCGAGTGTTGTCAATTTGTCATTTTCATCCATTGTCATCCATTCAATCAATGGTCCTCATATGCTAATATGTATTTTGTCAAAAGAAAAAACGAACTTTGATTTCTTAGCAATTAGTATGATTGCGGAAATCAGGAAGGCATAATATAGCCCCACGGATATAGGTACATGGGCTTTAACATGGTTTCAATATTTTAAAGCCTCCTTGACCAGTAATATAACCATTTTGAGTTAGGGCACAACTTCGGCAAACAATGGACTCTTGGTTGTGGATCGACTGCTTTTTTTGCTTGCCTGGCTAATGCTGTAAGCTGTTCTTTGCTCAGCACCAACTCGGCAGTGGAGGTGGCAGTGGCGAGGGAGTGCGAACTCTGGGAGCAGACGCAGTGCGGGCTTCTCTGCTGGCCACCGATTTCACACGTTCCGCACTCGTCTACACAGAGGAGAGCGTCCTCGACTTTCGACGCTTCGGCAACAAGGTGCGCTCCTCATCTCTCAACCTGCCCTCCTCTTTCACCCTCCGCTTTTTCTTTTGTCCCATTGACCTCAGGTGTGGCAAAGTATGCGTTTCCTTATTTCCGAAATGGCGCGCACCGGTCTATCCATTGACCCGAAGAGGCAATCCGTTGAAGTAATGTGGGACAAATTCCTTAACCAAAAGGTCAGCTACCCGATTCCAGTTTCTGCCTGAGTCACTTGTATTTTTTTAGTGGACCTTTTTGTAATGTTATCACAGGCACCTGAGGTTCCCCTCCTCGAAAAATGGATCCTGCAACGCGTAGCACATCTGGCGTGGCGATTCAACGCATCCTTTGAGAATCTTTGCTCGGAACAGGGATGTGACGAGGCGCTGCACAATTGTGTCTCCGATTTGCGCCTATGGTGGACTGAGGATCTCTGTTCGGTATATCTGGAAGTTGTGAAGCATCGCTTTCGCATCAGTGGGTCCTTCTCACACTATCTTTCGTTTGAGTCAAGTTTGTGTATCTTAAGGGTGTTTTTTTGCCACTTCCACGTGATCAAACAACCCAAAAAAGCCATAGTATTTGGTCTAGGTGACGCTGTTGTTTCCGACATCACTGCTTCAACTACTCCCATGAAGACAATCAGGATCAGATGAGTGTATTGATGCTGCTATAACTCGAAGATGGCATGAAAACGATGTACTGAAGACGTTTTTGGGAAAGCGGGTCTAAGATGCTTTATTGTACGCATCTACTTTGTGTACTTGAAACTCTCTCATCCGCATTTCTGTTAGTGCTTAGATGAATGTAGGACCCATTGCTAACATAATCTACAAATATTTAAAAAGTGAATTAAGCTCACCGCTCGGGACATCTTAGAAACGTTAGCATGTCCGTTCTTAACAAATGATACACATAACAAGAAACAATACTGATACATATATCCTTTTTGTTGACGCAATTTACTACAACTTGTATTTCCACTTACACTTAGATGGTGATGCTCAAGAAAATTTGGATACTCTGGTTGCCTGTTTTTTATGCGGCCTCCGTCTGCTGCATCCCTTGATGCCCCACATCTCTGAGATGCTCTGGCAATCGCTTCTCAACGACGGCCACTCTATTCTTCTTCAGCAGTTTCCCAAGGTGCATCCTCACTCCCCAAGCAGCAATCACGTTAGCCATCAATCAACAAGCATGTCAGCTTTTATATCTCGTCCACTTTCAAATGGATGGGGCATAAATATTAGACATCTCGAAGCCGACTTTTTGACATCAAGTCATATATCCACAGGAATATACACATGAACGCCAATTTTACACATTTCATAGGCGTCGTATGCTTTGATGTCAGACGACTCAGACTTCATCCCTGAAGCCATCGCTGCGGTATCACGCCTCAAGTCGTGGCGTGTGCTGTTGGGTCTTGGGAAGGCCTATACTGACAGCATGGGTGTGTCCGGTCTGCCCACCGACGCACGACAGGAGGCTGCACTCGTGGAACTTTGCTCTGCACTTGCCGGTCTAAGGCGCATCGACGCGGGCTCCGCTCATCTCACCAGCATCCCCTGTGGCGCTGGTATCTCGCTAAGTTTTGAGCCAAAGGTTTGATTTGCGCACATGCTGTCCCATTGAGGCTTTGTAGCCAACCAAACTTACTTGTGGAATGGTCAAGCTGTATTTCAATCGTTTTAAGCCTCACATCTTAACTTATTTAGTACATTCATAGTGAAGTGGACAAGGTTGGGTGGTCATATGGTAAGGAATACAGCCTAAATTCGTCTACCTCTTTTTCAGAGTGTTGACTTCAATACAGCCGAGAAAACACTTCAAAGTCGCCTCTCCAAACTGACCAGGAATATTGAGGCTCTTCGCTTCAAAAAAAAGATGAAAACAGATTCAGGAAATGGCGGACTTTCGCATACTGAAGCATCGAAGGTACTCGTCACACGCACCATTACGTGGAGGCACTACCTGTCGAATCTTTCAGCGTGTTGCATTAATACATTAATTTTTATAACCTATTTTGACATGACATTTAATTCTTCATGCACCTTTAAAAACCGTTAATGTATTGTGCATAAATTCTGACAAATATTTACGAATACTTCTAAAGTACTCTTGTTTCATGTTTGTTTTCTTTCATTCTAGCTTGCACTTCTTGAAAGGCGGATCTCGGCTTTGAACTCACAACTTCAAATCCTGTTGGATTGTCGAAATTCCGACATCCCACCTTGAGTTGTCTTTTGTACACAAGTTAAGTAGACAAGGCTTTTAATAGACAAAGTTAATTTGATTAAAAATGTTGTGAAACGCTAGGTATTTGTGAGCACGGATATTGTCTTGCTGCACCGCAGAAGATCCGAGAATGCAAAATCCTTAGAACAAAGATTTTGGTGCTGGCACGCTGAGTACGGTAGGGATACATCTCCACTAAACTGGAGTGTTGTAGTACGCATGTGGTCACCATACTCACACATTTGTTCGTTGTTGAATGGCTCTAATCTTAAGGTTCCAGCAAATAATTTTTTTTCCTTGTCTTTAGGATTTGGCTTTCCATCTGTTATTGCTGGACGGTAGATTTGCGGACAATGAGTTGAGTTGATGAATGTAATGTAAAGGCTAGCTGTGGATATGAGGAAGGAAGCAAAAATGATTTTGAGTGAAACTATTACGTAGCATTTCATATTTTCAGCACGAATTAATACTAAACGATTTTTTTGGCAAGGACATTTCATATGTCAGTTTGATGTGCATGGGAACGTTCGCACAAAAGCCTAAGTAGCTTCTCGGACTGGAATCATCCCGTACTGGTCCCTCTAACTTCGACCCTAATTTGAGACTACCAGGCTGCTGAATGGAATTGCCTCTTATTTTTTCCAACGCGAGGGGGCATCGGCTCGTGAATTTAAATAGTGTTTATCATGTATTCTCCGCATAGGAAACCGTACGCCTGCAATCCAATGCTCAGAAATGTGTTAAATTACAAATAACGGTAGTGCAAAACATCTATTGCGTGGTACCTCATTAAATCTCGTAAAGTCAAAAATAAACTCATAATTACGCTGGAGAGTGCCATGGTTTCCAAATTCACTTCATCAAGGCTTTATTTAACTGAGACTACAAGTTAGCTGCCACTTTATTTGACCAAAATTGCGGATACTTACCCGTAGTTGGAGGATGCATTCACTCCATTTAAGGAGCTACTGAATATTAAAAAGGAAATAAGGCACTTGTGGGATTCCCTTGAACAGATTGGGCTGCACTGTGTTCTGTCATTGTTGTTTGGTTCCCATGGTCGATGTGAGAGATACAAACGGAGCTTTTCATTACCAAATTTGATCAGCAGGTGGAAAGGCGGTTAGGCATGGTAGCGCCACTGGCGTTGGCGGTGTTGGTGTCCCGTGGCTAGCAGACCGCAGTTATTCGGTGTGGTAAGTTGGCAGAGTTAGGCATCAAGGGTCTTGTTGAGTAGTAGACTATTGGAGTAGGTGTGCGTAGTTTTAGCTTCAATGCCCAGTGAGTTTGTTGGCTATATGAGAAAGTGCTTGCGAAGCAGGGGTTAATGAATGTGCTTGTAGCTGGCTAAGAGGGAAAAGAAGTTAAAAAAGGGCGGGAACTGTTGCGAGTCACTGGCCAGGTAGGTAAAGTCACTCCTGGACGAGGAAAGAGAGTCGACTGCTCAACAAGGAGAATACTATCACTTTCATGGTCACATTGATCTCTGGTTCGATCCTTCCGCCGGCCAGCATTGCTCCTGACGGTAGTTATTAAGTCGCCACCGTAAGGGGGACCGAATTGGCGACCTTTCCGAATCACGATGTCATTTGAACCCACGGAGAGAATGGCTCCAGATTCTATTCAGGTCAATCATCAGCCAACAAGTAACAAGCATTTATGCTACCTGGTCTGCTTTGACTTAATGTGGCAAAAACTACGCTGATCTTGATCAGGTCATCACTCTTAAACTCGTCTCAGTCTGTACACTTTTTTCTTGTTATCACATAAACATATGCTTTATGCACATTTCCCTTGTTTGCTTCTGTTTGTATCTCATTCCCTTTTTATGATTGGCATAGGCGCATGGTGGAAATTAACCAAGACCCTTCAATCTCCAATTGCAGGTCTCCTGAAAACAGCTTACCTTCAAATGATATTTAATCGCTCCTTAATTAGGCACAATTGTATCTGCTTGTGGCGGGAGCCGCAACCAACATGCGTTATATGCTGAATTATCAAAATGTCAATTTCGTTAAATGTAAATGATGTGACTTCTGATGGCACAGTAACTTGCGCATTATATTGCATCAGTTCTGACCCAGTAATGTGTGTAGAAAATAACATTGAGGTTACGAGCAATTTAATTTCCTCAATACGCCTCCTACCATTCTCAAGCCCACATACTCATATTGGGTTGCGAAAAAGAGAAATTCGCAGAAAGATTGATCCGACACAGCATGATGACGAAACAGAGACCTTTCACTCGACCGAAAAATGCTCCCAATTTTTAATTTGTAGCTGAGCGTTTGATGGAGCATTAATTGGTAACAGCAAAATCATCCTTGCGGAAATAACCCTTATGAATTGCGTTTGTTGAAGCCATCCTCTATTCTTCTGCATTTGAGGACTTCATTTTGCTAAAATTGATGGGACTTTCTAAAAAGTGCTTTTGAATGCATGAATCCATGATTGATAAGGACCATGGAGAAGTGCAGAAAACACACCTTGCTCCATTTAGTAATGCATCTCGAATGATACCACTGTCTTCAAGCATAAACTATGCGAACCCAAATTTCTATTGATTTCGAAATATCCAGGAACAAAGGGCCCCTATGGGGACCACAAATGGCTGCACATCTAGCTCACCCCAGCTTCATAGTGAAGGCCGAATTGCAACTCCAAGCCCTTAGCATTTCCATTTTGATCTACATACCCACGTTTTACCAGCAAAGTTCATCCTATTGTAAATGATAATACCAAAATCATCATCAGCCGTTGCCCTACTCTTTGGTCAAATATGCCTACGCAGTCTCTATTTTTCCATCTCCTCGTGTACAACTACGTGCCACCAGTTATGATCATTGAACAATCTATTTGCAATAACCCATCCCACCCATTGCCACGTCCTTTATTCCAATGACTTCTCTAGTATATCATGGCAAGCATTTCCTTGTAAATGTTGACGGAACTTACTCTAGCCCATATGCCATCATCCACTTTTTCTACGAACGTTGATAATAGCTACTTAAATATTGTCAGTAGAAGAAACTTCACTCGGTCTCTTGTGTCCAAAAAGGAGTATTTGACTTCATTGGATTTTAGGCTGTTTTAGCGCTACATTGGTTGGCTTTTAGCTGTTTTCAATCACTAACACTATTTCCACGTAGAAGTGGAATAGTGTTGCACACAGATGCAAATCTGTGGAAGGCAATACCAAACTTGAGTACTTTCGTGGTTCGTTCCATAGAGAACTTTTTCTTACGTAAGGACAGTTTGTACTTCATTCAAAAGCACTTCTTTTGCTTCAATTTACAAGCCTTCCTTTATCCACTACCACTTCTGCATAAAGGTTAAATGATTCTCTCAACACATTCTCCGATTTCTGCGCCATCTGTGCACCGCTTTTTTGGAAATTCTCAGCAGCTATATCGGCGCGTGAAAGATGCATCACTTTGACCTGCTTAATGGCACCATGCTTTAGTTTTGTATTTGGTCACAAGATTCGTCGATGGTAAAATCACCCCGTTTCCCATCTGCTTTTTAGTTTAGAAACCTGTGGGATTTCGACCCTCGAAAAAACACGAAATTGTTGATTTGCAGAATATTCGACAATTGTAACTCGACACACCCTAATCTTCACATTATTTTGACTGGAATAGACGTATACATAGGGCGTGGACGCTAGTGTTACAGAAAATGATGATAGCTTAGATGTCCTCGCTCCTGAAAATAATGTTCAAGTGAATCACTGAGGTGTAAGGTCACGTAGAACGCATAAAGTACGCCGTACCGGTAAATAAGCTAGACCATGCTTTCACCTCTCTTTGGCCGTTTGCGATTATGAAATCCATTTAAATAAATGAAATTAGAGAGGAGTCATAGTGGAGTGCATTCGTACTTACCTGCATGTTTTGTTTTGAATGTACTGCCGTAACTAAATTGTAAAATGAGTAAATCAAGCAGTACTCAAAGTTATTTAGGGATGAGATTTAGCACCCCTCCAAGAAACCAAAATTTCACACAAGTTTAAGGTGGTAGGCGCAAAGGCCTGAATGACCACTATGGCGCCTCTGATTTCATTTATTTAAACGGGTTTCGTGAATGCAAACGACCAAAGAGTAGTGGAGATATGGGTTAGCTTACTGGTGCGGCGTACTTTGCGTGTACTATGTGATCTTACACCTCAGTGATCCAATTGAACTTTATGTGCAGGAGCGAGGGCATCTGAAGCTGCCATCATTTATCATAGTACTAGCATCCACGCCCTACACATACATCTATCACAATGAAAAAAAGTGTGAAGATATGGGTGTGTCGAGTTGCAGGTGTCAAGTATTCAGCAAAACAACAACTACAGCATATCCATCCTTATTTTCGGAAATACCTTCCTTGAAGGTACCATTGCGATGCCAACTCTCAAACTCTGCCTATGCGTAAGATAGCTCCCACTGTCGATGCCTTGTCCCATGTAACCGACTACCAATCTGATGCTCGTCAGCTCAGAATAACTTATGAAGACGACGGAATCATCGATCCTTGCACAGTCGCCCGATTTGCACATTAGACAAGTCAATTACTACCGTCACTGAGGCGCATCTGCGTAATTCCCCCACTAAAGCCAAAATTCACACTAGCACATAATTGCAGGAAGAAAAAAACTTAAATTGAACTCAACAGCTTCAGATCGGGGTAATATGTCTTTTATACCTAAATTATCAGACGCAGCGTCAATAGCTGCAAATGTTTAAAACCCCTACAAGCGCAGAAACACACAGCGTCTCTACTAAAATATCTACTTCTGTGGTAGTCAAAAGCCATACCAAAGCACTTTACTGAAAATATTTATATCAAGACTTGATTGTTTAAAGACTTACGCACGCCTCGCTGGAAGAATAAATCAGGATACGCTGATAAAAAGCCTAACCCGTATCATTAAACACCATTTGGCACAACAGTTACACGATGTATCAGGGTAAAACACAAACGCAAGGGCGATAATGTGAGAAATTCGTCCAGCATCTATGTACACAAAGACATGTTTCGGATAAAGGTATAGGTGCTATTTACTCGCTTTTCCGCTTTCGCCTTTCAGACTTCGCCAGACTTTGATCACTGCGTCACGATGATTCAAAACCACCTTCTTTCCTTCCAATCCGTAGTACCTAATGATGGAAAAATACTCATTCTTGAAAACCAAAACTGTCTGCTCAAGATACAGTGTAACCGCTAGTAAAATGTCTACAAAAGGTCGCGATTTCACGAAAAAGCACAAACGCAAGTTAGTGTGTGAGCATGGAATAATAGAATAACTCTAACTTGGGTTTAAAGCTTAGCTATATTAGAGCATTTTGAGAGTTCCCTTTCATTAAAATTCTACCAGTGTGATTTATTCGCAAGAAGGAAGAATCCGTAAAACGTAATATACATCCCACTTGATAAGTGCAATGCGACTCGATAAGAAATCAAGTTCTGCAATATCTTCCAGGGAATAAAGAAGCAGATTCGCCTAAGAGTCCGGTAGAGTCAGGTCCACCAATAAGCTTCAGTGGCGCGGTTTAATGATTACTCACGATGGATATGCTGAGAGAACATATTAAACCATCAAAAATAGAGGAAGAGAATAAGCGTACATGCCGAAGAGGAGGCCACCGAGATGCGCTGCGTGGTCGATGGGTGAGCGGCGAGCGAGAAAAGTGGCACCACAGGCCTCGAAGGCTACAATAGCCCAGCAAGCGGAACCCGCGGAAAAGGCATGAGGAACAATGTTCACCACCAATGGCAGGCAGAGCATCGCATGAGGTTCCAGCATGCAGAATGCGCCTAGCACTGCGCACACCGCCCCGCTGGCACCGATGGAAGGGATCCGCGAGCCCCGCGCCGCCTTTACCAGCGCGCTTAGGAAGGAGGCGAAGATGCCTATCCCGAAAGGATATTAGGTTAAAATAAACAATCACCACGCCTCTACTAGTACCTTGGACAGAGGCCATCGATAATGAAACACTGCACTCAATTTCATATCCGCATGGGAAACAAACAAACTTATCACCCAGGGTTCATATGGGGGAGGTCGAACTACTTTTAGAATGGGTTATCGTTGCCAGAAAGCGTGACAAGGGAAAGCAGACAGGCTTCTGCTATTATTGGAAATAATACCTTCAAATAAAGCTCCACAAACTTAAAAATTACCCTAATTATACGAGGGACGTAAAGGTTATAACATGATATACCTTACGTAATGAAAATGTTTGCATAAAAGGCTGCCTTACCACCGCTAAGAAAGACAGCGAAGTATTGTTCCATTCCGAGAACTCGTACGAGAGGTTGCGTGAAGTTATTAAGTACGTACATGTTTAAAAACATGTGGAAGAACATCTGGTGGGAGAATATTGAGAGGAGCATGGAAGTTGCTGGCCAAGCTGTTAAAAATAAAGGATCCGACAAGAGGATTTTTAGAGACAAGAAGAGTTGTAGGTATCATCACTCACGTCCATAAGGAGAATTCGCAAAGTAGCGAAGGAATGTGGGTCCGTATCGACGATTATTGTTGCAGATGAAGATAATGAAATTTGTAAAGGCAATGGCTAAACGAAGTAGCAAAGTATTGGTCATCTGCTAGTTTATAGAAAAAGTTAAGATGCTTACCCCAAAAAATATCAGATGATTTTGGAGGTCTGCCAACGATCGCCGTGAAAAAACCGCGTAGCTGTGGAGGAAAAACTGAAGTCAGCTACCGGGAAACAATGGCAGTACAAAAGGCCGCGTGTAGTACTTACGGTTTGTTGAAAACCTCCCTTTCGGTGCTTTGAAATTTGAGCCCTCCAGTTCTCATAATTCCAAATCATAGACCCAACAAAAATGGTATTTATAGAGACGAAAGTAAAGAGGCCACATTGAAGAAATGTCTGTTTAAATATACGGGCATTATTTCCAAGAAAAACGGTAGATCGACCGAAAGAAGATGACTTAGGTTGCGGAGATCGTTTGGGATGTTGATAAACAGGTTTGTCATAGAGTGATATAGGGCCACGGGTATCCCTAAGTCGACTAAAGACCGTCCGTCCGAGGGAAAACTGACGGAAAATACCTGCAGATCAAGATTACAGACATCATGACGTAATTTACTAATTGCTCAAAGCCTAGTAAAGGGACTGCACTAAATAAGGCAAGCACAAAAACAATAAACAACAGCACGAGATAAATTTTATTAAAGCGTGTTAACACTTCCTTCGAAAATGAGTTTAGCGAATGCAGTTAAGTAGTACAGGTACTCACAGATTTAATAAAATAGCAGCATGAAAGCGAAAAAGTACCCAGAAAAAGAGAATTATAAGATACAAGAGGTATCATATACCAATATATAATTACTAGCAAAAGGTATGCCGTGAAGACGAAAACGAGAAGATATACCCCTAAGACAGTGGTGAGAACAATTTGTGTACCTAGCTCCACGTAACACGATGAAAAAAATATGATTCGACGACTCATCCGAAACAGTCCCAACGCTAGAACCACGAGCCGTTTCGATTTGAGCGCTATATGTTAGCGTAAATAAGGACATTTAGTTAATAAAAAGTGACCATTAAAAAACGGGTTACCACATTCTAACTTGACGACAAAGGTGTGATGTAAAATAACAGGTTTATTGTGAACTGCAATTGACTCTAGTTGTAGTGAACTAACTGGATCAAGTACATGCTCAATTGGATGGAAATTAGATGGCGCTGCTGGCTCGTGGGTGTTTCCTTACAACACCCGTTCTATTGTGATACCTGACTAGTAAGCTTTGTAACTATACCCAAAAAAGAAATAGGCAGTGGGTTAAATTGGTTGTTTAACGCTTCTTTGTAGATATTGTAACTTTGCCGAGTGGACCATGGTAATAACCCCAATTATTCTTGTACATCAACTACATGCATATTTTGCCCAAGTATTGCCTTTGTTTGTTTTCAGGAAAGTCCTGAGGTGCTAAATTTCTACTTGATATTCAACAAAATCGTATTTTGTCTCCTGAAATATTATAAATCAATACTTTTCAAAATCGCATATTTCGTCGTGTTTTTTTGCAGGCAAACATAGCCATGTTTGAAAGTGGATGGCACACGCTGTAAGGCTGATCGTCTGTTTAACACAATGCTCCGTCATTATACTTCCACTGGAGGGCATGATCTCCGGGACATGCCAGTGGCCCCTCAACCCTGTTGCACGTTAGCAAGAGCCGTAGTACTATGACTTCCTTTAAATTCAAAAAGGACCTAACATGTTATAAACGAAACGCTTGAAAAACTGCACGAATACAAAATATCATATGTATTCCAGGTTTGCGTGCAAGTATATTGGGTGGTCGTATTGTGGCGCCCTAATACTGCCTTGAAGACAAAAAAAGGCGCAATAATAGGGAGGAATATGCTTAATCGATGTTTAAGTGAGCCAGTGACTGCTGGCCTGGAGGTCAAGCCGCAAGCGGAAGTAATAAACTTAGATTCAAGATCCGTTTAAATGAGTCAAAAATTTGACTGAACAATCAAAGCATTACATAACTTCTCTCAGCGACCTTTCGCGTTGGATATCACAACATGGTTGATGCTTTAATACCACCAATAGCTACATTAAATCTCGAGAATTATGGATTCGGCTTGCATCCGAAACGAAATTGGACCGCAGTGGCTCTGATCGCTTTTTATACATTCTCTCTTATAAAGAACCTGTTTTAAGGAAATAAAAGTGTGTAGATCACGAAGTATATGCACAATTAGTCATCAAAAAACACTATTCTAAAGGCGGTTTCATTTAGCAGGAAGCAAGGCAGTAAATAACTTAATAGGGATTGTATTTTGCGGCAATTCCTCTGCTCCAATTTGTTCTCACCTCAGTGATGTCCCGTCACACCTATCTAGGATCTTACCAGCTAGTAAAGATGTGGAGGAAATATCGCGTGTTTTCTTAATTGACATCTTCATATTAGCACTGGAGGCAGCTCCATAAGGAAATTTTCAAGGTGATTCTTGGCTAGTGCTGCTTTCGATTTTAACTGTTCTCCTGCAGAAAATACCACTCGAATGGACGACTTGAATGAAGGTCACCACGCATTCTCTTATTCGTGGCATGTACCTATCTACAGTTAAGTAAAAGTTTATTATTCAATAACATGAATTGGATTGTGTGTCCTCTTTGACTACTTCCTTAATTGTCGAATTGGGGGCGGGTGCCCTTGGGGTCGAATACTATACCGCTATAAAAGTAGTAAGTCGGAATTTTCAGTACTAACAAAAAAGGTTAATAAACAGTAAGAATCTTATGATTCGAAGGTAAATTCTAAGTAAGAAGCAATGAGCGAAAAAGAACCTCTTGACTTTCAGAATTACGCTTGCACAACACTTTGGTTCTGTGTTAACTTTGCCAGTCTTCATGTTCTGAGGCTGCGAACACAGTTACAGGGTGTGGTGTAATACGATAGTGGTTTATCCCTCGGTTCTGGTTAGGCGCCACTTTTGGACTTTGAGTTAGCCCCCTTGTATCTCGCTTGGTGGGGCTGGCCTTTTGGGCCATGCCAATGGCCCAGACACCTTCTCCGTGCTGAATATATATATATATTCTGACCGACTATTGCGTCTTCTTTCGTCTTCAGGGAGCCTCGGGACGTTACAGTGGGGTAAGAGAACCTGACGCAACCGCTCCGGTGTTATATTCCCTTTCTACCCCGTGCAACTGTTTTACTTAAATTAACTTATTTGTTATAAAAAAACAAATTTTGAAGTTTTACTGACTAAATGTAGATTGAATATGCAATAACAAAGTATTTTAAAAATCGCCTATTGTTCAAAACCTTAATCAGCAATATTTCTGCTGAACGAACTAATTTTTTAATTAATACCTAATTTTATTCGTTGTCGCTGGGCGACGCTTTTGTAAAAACACATTTTGGCCATAGCCTCAGATGCTGCCTTGTTTTAATCCACTAGGGGTTCTGAGGTCGGTTTGTTGTTTCGTGATTTGTGGCATGAATCAACTGCGAAAGTTAGCTCCTGTTGGTGGTAGTGGTCTTCTGGGTCTTGTTGGGTTGGGTCTTCTTGGATATGGAGTACAAAAATCACTTTACACAGGTACTTTTCATTGGCCTTTTACAACATCATTCTAGTCGACGGTGGTCATCGTGGTATCATGTTTAGCCGTATTGGCGGTGTCAAACCCGATATTTATGCAGAAGGTCTTCATTTTCGGTTAGTTTTTCTCCACTGTCACTATGATCTTATAGTGTGCCCTGGTTCCAATATCCTATTATCTATGATATCCGCTCTAAGCCGAGGAAAATCACTTCACCCACTGGAAGCAAAGGTAGTTCCTGCTGTCTTTTGTGCTAGTATCTTAACAATTAACAAATTACAATTTGCTTGTGTTCAATACGCCGTCTTGTGTGGGCTTGTAGTTTTTTTAATACTATTTGGAGGGTTTGCCTGCCTATTTTAAACCGATAACAGCCCTAGGTCCTTCGTGTGTCCACTTTATCCGATTACGCAACCTGCAGTAAGGTGTTATCCTTTATAACTTCCACAAGATCCTTTTACCATCCATGAGAGGTTTTCCAATCACATTTACAGATTTGCAGACAATAAATATTACTGTTCGTGTCCTCTCTCGTCCGGAGGTCTCTAGTCTGCCTGATCTTTACCGTACACTTGGCACTGACTATGATGAGCGAGTTCTTCCTTCAATTGTCAACGAGGTGTTAAAGGCAGTTGTGGCCAAATTCAATGCAAGCCAACTCATCACACAGCGTCAACAGGTGTCGCTGCTTATTCGCAAACAACTTATTGATCGTGCCCGTGATTTTCACATCGTTGTTGATGATGTATCTATCACCGATCTTACATTTTCGCAAGTCTACGCATCGGCTGTTGAAGCGAAGCAGGTGCGTTATTCTTCGATCCCTTTGCTAATTTTTGCCTACTACCCTCTCCACCCACTGTCGTTTTCTCCAGATTGCTCAACAAGAAGCCCAAAGAGCTCAGTTTTTGGTCGAAAGAGCAAAACAGGAACGTCAACAAAAAATTGTCATGGCTGACGGTGAAGCACAAGCGGCGAAGCTCATTGGTGATGCTCTACAGGCAAATCCTGGATATCTCAAACTGAGGAAGATCAAGGCAGCTGCAAATATTGCTAGGACGGTACTTTTATTTGGATTTTGCGTTCTTTTGCATAAGTGGTCATGATGATAACGCCTCTCTTTCTCCCTATTAGATTTCGCAGTCGTCCAACCGCGCGTTTCTCAATTCAAATACCTTACTTCTCAACCTATCTGATCCCCAGTTCGATGCCAGTGTTGATAAAGTCATTAAACGGCGATAGACAGTTGTTTAGTGATTCCTTAAAATGTTGAAATGCCGTTGTACAACACCATAGTGGTGTACTTGCTAGCCATCTTCTTCGGGTCTGCCTGCCCTATTTTTACGCTTCAGTAAATACTGCATTTTGTGAGCTCTCATTACCCTCCAGAATTTCGTTGATTGGGTTTTAGTTCACATTCTATCCTCAGCTTACATAGCTTCTGAGGGGAATCACTTCGGGCAAATCGGAAACGTTTCACAAATTATTGTTCGCATGAAGAGCCGGTAGTCAGTTTTCCCAGTGAGGATCGCGTGGTACGGGCTGGTGCTCTTATTTCTACCGCAGTTGCTCAGAGGTGTTTAGGTTTTTTGGATTAGTGCATTGAGCGGCCTGTAACTAAGGCCTCTGCAGTTTCCTACTGCTCTGGTTAAACGTGCCTTCTTGGGAAAAACAACTAAGTGTAGAAGTGAGTTGTCTAGAAGTGCATGCCTTCGCACCTTCCAAGCGGTGGCCCTGTACTTTGGGGAATTCACCCTACATCTAACATACGTGAAAGTTATGGTAGATGTTAGTAAACTAATTATTAATGAGGAGGTTTGACTCCATTTAGAGTTATTTAAGTAATGGACGTAGGTTCATCATTTCTCACATTTGGTAAGAATTTGACTTTTCTTGTGACTCGACTGATAAACCTAGGACAACTTGAACAGAAATCAGTAGAATAGCTGAGGTGCAGCTATAAAGTGTTTTAAGGTATCTAACAATTTCGTACAATTTACTGCACATTTTTATCAACCGATCAACACAGTAACTTTTACAACGAGGTGGTATTTTTCGTAGTTAATATCTAGGTGGACGGTAGACATCATAATTAATTTCAGTTGTTCGGGATTCTTTCCGAGTCCCCCAAGATTTGGAAATTGCTTGTTGGTAGGAAAAGGATGTGCTTGTCTGTCTCCGGAACAAAAAGGATAGAAAAGAGAAGCACAATCCGTCAATTTGTTCTCTATTAACCACGTGGGTATATGAGCTATTTTTTCAAAAGCACATCACAGTTCGGCTTCTCGTACATCTTTTTACTCATCTTCTGCTCCTCCTCGTGACTCCAGCGGCTGGAAATACGCGGCGGCTGGGAGCGGAAGCGCTTCATTGTCCAGAGCTTCTGCGCAGGCTGCTTCGATGGCAGCCGTACCACAGCGTTCGCCGATTTTAGTGTGTCGTAGGGTTGTGGGGACTTATTCTGCGCGATGGCCATGCCTGTCAAGTATGATCTGTTGTTCCTATAAGTCAAACCAAAATTGAGGAAATCATCAGTCGAAAGGACATTTTACTACCAGTTTGAAATTAGGGTCGAGGTAAGAATTATCGTCAACTAGTTCTCAATTTGCACCACCGAAATAGATGTTAATGGCTCACTTACGTAACATTCACCTTGATCTATATGGAATTTATTACTCGAGAGAGGTATTAGGAATGCTTGGTTTAAATTTTCATTAACAGTAGTCCTATCCACTTAAGACGATAGAACTGGCAATCAGTAATCAGTAGTTAGCGGAAAGGAATGTACTTCACCTCTACATTGAATTAAACTTCAAAAGTACGTTACTATGTGTTGCATTTCACAATACAAACTTGGTTTTTCGTAAATCGGTTATTTGGACAAAGTCATTGCAATGTAGCATGACGTACTCGATTGCCATTTGATCAAACTCCCGTTTATAGTAGTGTGAGAGCAAACAGCCTATTGGTGTAGAAGGACGAGTTGGTTTGCCGAAAGTCATATCCAGAGGGAAGACAGGCTTTTTCAGTTGAACAATCGGTTTGACAGGCTTTCGGTGGAAGTCCTTTTCCTTTCGAAATCGGACCCACTCAGGCACCCTGTGGATTCGCATCTTGACACTCTCGACATTTGTCTTGTGATAGTCTACCCCATAGACTTTGGAGTCCTCAACGGATTTGTAGGCGCACCAGTTGAGGCACTTGGCCATCCCGTCCGGGTCCCTCTCTGGCCTCTTGCCGTATACAAAGCATGCCGGGGGTAGCGATCGCCCACGAGTAAAGTGTCGACCCAGAGGAGCCCTGATGAGGGTCTCCCGGGTGAACATAGAGTTCCGCAAGCAGCCCATCTGACCCGGGGCCAAGCACTCGGCCTTGAGCATCAATCCTAGGCTCACAAACCGCTCCGGCATCTTGCAATTCCACTAGGAGACGTTTCAAAAGCTGACCATGCGCTGGCGCCACCAGACGGTCGATATCCACGTGAGCATTCGTGGACCTACATCTGCTGGCGCGGCTACCATGTGACTGCTTGAGGAGATTTTAGTGAAATACACTCCTGACCGCTCGTTCCCTCTAATATCATGTATAGGATATTTTTCGAATCTCTCCATCTGTAATCCAAACATTTTTTGTTTTAACAAGCAAATCTGCTCACCATGAGAACGAAATCTCCGGTTCTTAGGAGGCTAATTCGACCGTGCCCAAATCTTTAAACTGTCTCTCTCCATGGCAGCTAGTTTTCACAATTGTGAATGTATCAGAACTTTGTGTGTTATGCGTGAATTAAAACACAGATAGAACCTAAGATGTAGCTTAAACGCTAAGTCCAAACTAGCGATACGACAAACCTCCCCAGTACCCTACGATACCTAGTAGTGAATATAAAGTTCAAAAAATGTACGTAATCGAAGTCTGCCGCAATTGTATTTTGGGTTGCCTATACCACCATGAGTAGACTGCCCCAACAACGAGTTCTTCCACGGTATCTTTTCCAATGAGGCATCTTGGTGCCTGTTATACCGCATTTTTATGCCGTGCCTACATCGATCGGCTCAGTTGGTAAATCTCCTTACTTATTTTATGCACCGAAAACAGGAAAAAAAAAAGGAACAACAACACAATGAAGTAGCTCGACAATCCGTGTACGCTCCGACATGCTTCCATCCATTGGCTTTCCCCATGAATGCGTAGCAATTGCAATGTGTCGCTTTTGAAAAGCAACAACAAATTTTGGGGAAAAACTGCAGGACTTTTGATGCTGTTATCTAGCTTGCAGATTTGATAAGTTACTCGAAAGGAAATGATGCAGAAGTGGAACAAAGTGGAACAAGTGGAACAAAATGTCCAATTTTCTAAGAATAAGAAGTGATTGTTCACGTTTTTCCTTCGACAGAAGAAAATTAAGATTTTTGTTTCATAAAAGTCGGGTTGCATTGCAATCAGAAACTCACCGATTTAGAGAACCAAAAATTCAACGAAGATCAACTTATGTTATGTTTTCGATGGAACAACCTGGTCGAAGGACGATTTTCGTACATGCTTAACACGCGCGCTGCCCACTGCTAGCGGCGAGATCATCACCAAGACTACAGCTCCAAAAACCTCTTTTCCTATCCGTTTAGGATTATTTGGATCAAAAGTGCTACCACGTAAATGCTCCCTCCATAAAGGCAAGCAGAGACGATAAATGATGTGAATAGACTCTTAGGTTGCTCAGCATTCAGAGACATTACATCACTTTAACCCACAAAGCTGCACTTCAGCACAAATCTGTGCTAATTTTAATAAAACAGCTATATTCTAATTATTCTTTTTGCTTTTCTAACTTTATGCATTGTTACTGCGCATAACTGAATGCTTTGTAAGTATCGACACAGACAAATGCAGCACAAGAGGTATCGAGGTCGTGTATATATGATTATTGTGTCAATTTGTCAAATAGCCAACAAAGTACAAAAAAACATTTGCCTAAGGATTACCGTGCCAAATTGTCCAAAGATGCGATCACACCGCGTTTTCAGCCTTCGAGTAATGCGTGTTTATAACTCATGTTGCTACCAACAAAGATGACTTAAAAGCCAAAGAGTACATAGATAACCCAAATTCCTCTAAACTGGGGATTCGAAAGCATGTTTCTCGACTTGCTCTGTGCGAAATCAATATTGTCGTCTGAAAACATAACAACTTAACTGAATATTATCTAATAAAACTAAACTAGTTTCGACCCTATTACAATGGCGCTAGCAAAATTATCAGAGTTTAATTTGCTTTATTCGTCAAAATCTTTCCAAATCGTATCGCATTGTATGCAAGCAAATCCCATTTGAAAAGACCCTGTTGTCACTCTTCATTAAGACTAAAGTCCTGAACTGAAGTTCAGTACAAAACACTTTGATCAAAATATAGCTTTTAAATGCGTCACCATTAAATTATCTGAAATGAATCGAGTGTTTCCAGCAGTCCTAAGGAGGATTCAGCATGTTCTCTTTAGATGTATGGGTTAAGTCCACATTCCTGGGCTGCCTTTGCCTACCGAGGGACTAATCCAGTAGATCTAGTTGCATCGACAGAAGGAATGGATGCTTAGAATAAGGAGTCTCTCCGCAGTAGCATCGTTTACCCACATTATAACATTCACTTCTGATGACTTGACATAATTATCACCATTAGTTCTAAAAATTATGGCAAAAGTTAATGCTTACCTAAATTTTATGTTGGTTTTATGGCTAGGGTTTTACCAACCCAACTATTATATCACCTTGCATAGCGCAACTCCGCTTTCATTCTCCTCCATACCTAAAAATTAATGTTTATGTTAACATTTGAGTTAGAGGTGATTCAAAGCATAGTCGATCCATTTTGGGAACTTTTACGAAACTTCCATCGTTATGTATTTGCATCCATTGTTTAGTTGGGCTTTTTCATACGAATTTTTCTGAAAGCACTCCTGGTCTCCACCGGGACGTGTGTCTATCTCTCTCGTGTGCTTTTTAACATTTTCAGGTGGGGTTGCGCTATCTCTATCCCAATGTTTTTCAAATAATTCTGTAACATAATTTTGACTTTTTATTTACGCAACAACAGGCTTACTTTTCTAAAGGCCGACGTTTTTGCACCACAGATTGTCATAGTACACATGATTGGTGTTAATTTTCTTCATCCTCTGTACTCGTGAAATCAAGGATTTGGGTGAATTAATCGGTAGGTTAATCTTAGTAGGTGTTCTAAGTATGCAGTTTGAAAATAGTCTGAACTCATCGATGGCGCCCTTAAGTTGTGGAAACACTAGGCGACTGAAAAAGGTGGTGGGCGTTTCTGCCGTTTTACTAATGGGACATGGGACTTGAATCGGATTTGTACATCACTATATGTGACAAATGTATGCAGGGGGTTCTAGAAGTACCAACAACAATTTGCGTTTATTCTTGACGTTTTTCTATGTAACGCCGTCTGTAGCACTTGGGACTTTATTCGATGCATCACAGTCGGAAGTCACTTGTCTGATAGTTTATATTCTCAAATGACGTTATGGTTTTTACTGCACAAGGGCTGGCTTCATTTCATATCATTCTTATTTTTATTATGGGTGATCTGCAACGTGTTTATCTCGGTCTGTTACTGTCTTTCAATGTAATACGCAATACTTTTTTGTGATTCTAGGTATGTTCCCATCTGCTACAAATATCAGGTTGGAGGAGCAGTCCAAGGATACTACTCCTAAGTCAGATAGTTGGCTTCAGAGCTCTTCCTATAGACCGCAAAATCTCAATGCTCCTCAGCTTCAAAATGTTCACAAGGAAGATGAAAAACACAGACTTAAAAAGTGAGTCGTTATTTCCCTTTCTTTTTAACTGAGACCAATTTGCACAATTGTCATTGCAATACTAGGTTTGAGTTTTATTAGTTGATAATTCACATATAACAAGCTCAATTTTCCTGTTTCCAAGACATCAAAAGAGGTCTCGCAGTCCTCAGGCGGTGATGCGAGAAAAACAGGAAACCTCAGCACCTGAAATCTATCGCATTGATACTAGCAGTAATCCACACATCTACAACTACGGGTGTATCTACGAGGGTGATGTGCCGGAATTCTGTCGAAGTTTGCACACACCGATCCTCGGGTTTCATGGAACCTTGTCTAATCTGCATCTCGATCCTGAGGCTGTAAAAAAGGAAGTAAAACGAAATCGTGCAAACCGCTATTTTAGCAAGAGGAATCGGCTTCGCATAGCTCAAATTGCAGCTCCGGTTTTTGGCCCCACAAAACGTACGGATGACAACCTGACACCCTATGTACTTCTTCAAGATGGAGCTATCCACTTCACGGCCAAAGTGCCAGTCCCACATCCGTCGGAACATCTCCAGAGTATTGCGGATTTGAACCGTGCAGTGTATGACACTCCGAGTGACCTGAAATCTTGGCTCAAGCTGATTCAAATGCAAGTGCTAAAAGAAGAAACGGAGGAAGATAGTCAAGAACCCTCTAAACGTCGTTGCTTTCTTATCCTGGAACGACAGCTGGCCGTAGTGGGGCGTGCAGTGGAAAAAAATCCGGGCAATCTGCGTTTGCGGTTGTTATTGACGGCGATGTATGAGTACTCCACGGAGCTAATTGCAAGCGGTGTCTGTCGCACCACTACTTCCTCATCGACTGTGCTCGAATCCCTCCAGCACAGGGATAAAGTCTTGCGTGAATGGTATGATCTCGTCCGCGTGTGCCCACAATTCGTGAGTGTTTGGCGCGGATACCTGGCGCATCTGCGTGGTCGCTTTGCCCTCTTCGGTGCCAACTCGGAGGCCGGTCCAACTAGCGCCTTCAAGCGCATCGACGCGCTTTACAGGCGGGCTCTCGAGACTCTCTCAGGCCTCGTTGTTGGACGCATACTTTCGCATCGACCTACGGAGGATACGGCAGATCAGACTGTTGGTAAGGTTTCTATAGTCACCGCGCATAAACTAATCCGGTGGTATTTCCTCACAGATCTACTCGCAGAGTACTGTCAGTGGTTAACACAGACGGGCTTCACGGAGCGTGCTTTTTCCATATGGCAGGCGGTTGTCGAGTTCGTATGTTTTTGTCCCTCTTATCTCCAATCGAGAGATCTTGCTTCCTCGGCTGAACGGCGGAGTGAATTTCAGCGCTTTTGGACGGCGGGGGATCGTGGAGTGGCTTTCGGTGTCCCCGGTGCCAGGGGCTGGGCTGCCTGGCATTCCGGCAGGAGGCAAATGAAAGAAAATCCTGCCGAAGGCACTGCAGCCTCCGATGGCCTTTTGATGAGGGAATTGGAGGAGGATTGGGGCCCCTCTTCATCGACTGTCGGTGTTTTGTGGAATCGACTAGTCAAGGATTGGAATGGTGGGAAAACGCTTTTTCAGGTTTTTAATTCGTTGGTTGTTTGATAGTGAGACCCTTGTAGGGGCACGAACTTTGCTGTTTATCTTGATTTTGTACTTTCCGATTGACGCGATATATGTCCATTCGATTTAATTGTAATTTTGAGTTTTTAGAAACGATTTCACAGCGATGATATATTTCCCTTTATTTTCATTGCGCACTTGAAAATTTTATTTTTATACCAATCGCTTCCAGTTTTATCACTTATTATCTAGTCTTTTACTCACCTGCTAAAGACTTAAAGCTTTTCGGCTCTAACACATAACTAAGGCACTGTTTTACGGATATAATCTCTCTCGAAAGAGGTCTTTTCGGATGTGGTAGGACATCACTTCATCATGTCGACGTAACGAATCTTGTAGTGCCTTTAAACATATATTTTTGGCAAAAATTTCGATCACATGGATTTGCATTGAGCGCCGTTGTGCTTCTTTCTCCTGCGTCCCATTACTAAACCTTACCCCTTTTTAGATGTCAGTGAGGCTGCAGAGGATGCCCTCTTAAATTTCTGTAGTCTTTCTTGCAACGATACCAACGCAACTGTGACCAACACTACTACGTTAAAAACCTGTCAGTTGGGTGAGGGTAGTCTTAGCAGTCGACGCTCCCGTGGTCTTGCTTGGCTCGGCCTTGAGCGTGCACGCGAATCTGTAGGTTGGCTGCCAGCGGATACAACTATGTACGATACCTCAATCGTCGAGGACGCTGACAGACAGCCCCGGTTTGAAGACATCGAGCCCTTTCTGCTAGAGGTTCACTTAGACCCAAGAGTGTCGGACAAAAATGTGTTTGAACGCCGCAAACAACGTCTCCTTCTTCTCTTTCTCGAGTTTTTGGGTATTTGGGATGCTGATGTGTCCAGAGAGTACAAACTACCTGCTGGTAAGAATTTTTTTTCTTTTGGGGAAGATAGAGCATACTAAGCATTGGAAATCAAACAGTCTTCGAATTTATTTAGAACTGCAACAAATCTACGAACTGTCATCAGTCAGTTGTATAAAGCGACAGAGCATTAGTCCACGTCAGTTCGGTATTCCGTGGCTTCGTTCCAGCCTTGAAGCAGGTAGTGGAGGCTCGGATATCAGCTTTAGAATGCGTTCAGTTCTGGCAGCGTCATCCTTGGAGCAGGCATCACGCCTTTTTTCCAGCAATTCCGCTTGGCAGTCAACAATTGGACGCTTACGATTCCGTCATATGACTGATTCCATCGAACGGGGACTGGCAGATAAACTCGTCACTCCAAAGGTGATTATTCACGCAAGTAAACCGCCTTACTGATATAATTTAAGTAGCATTATGGATTCCTTGTAGGAAGCGTTGGCACTCTGGAGAAAGAAGGCGAAAAACCTGCTTTCTGTTTCAAGCCAGGCTCAGAGTGACTTAAGCCTCTGGCTAGCCTATGCCAAAGGCCTTGTTCAGACGGCCTGTGCACTGTCGGAGAACAATTCCCCTCTCTTCAACGAAGCCCGTAAAGTCTTCACGACAACTTTGCGCATGTATCCTCTTCCAACCGTTTCAATTACGACCGCAGAAACCACCTTGGACGAACAACTGAATGTCATTCTGCCGCGTCTAAGGATCCTCCATGTAAGAATGCTTAAACTGATGTAGTTTATCATGAAGTATCGCAATGGATAAGTATGTGAATAATAAATCAAGTTCCTTCTAGGATGCTTGGGCATAATTGCTTCTCTATTATGCCTTTATAACTTCCTCTCATTTGTTGGGAAGGTTTGCAAAAGGAATTTTAGGCACGGTTTGTTTACTAAAAAAGCTTTGGTTCATTTTTGCTGTTTAAAGGGACACTCTCGAAAAATTTAGTGTTAATTTTTTGTGTATTTTGACTTCGCGATTGCAGGCCTTTGTGGAGTTTGAATTGGGCGTGAATTTCCCCCTTGACCTGGCGCGGGCTCTCTCACGTAGCGAGTGTTTTGCACGTGCTCTACATCTTATACAACACGCAGCCATAGGCGGTACTTTCGCTCCACTGACGGAAGGCCAACCGACACCGCTGCCACGTAGCACTCTTGTCAATACCGCTGACCAACTAGTTCAGCGCCTCGAGACGTTACGCCGCCTCCTTCCCCTAACCACAGATAAAATCTCCTCCTCGTCCACCTCTTGCGTTCACTCAGTTGCTGATTTAGCTGCCATTATGAGTTCTCTGCTTCTGTATTTGCAGTTGCTTACCTCTGGCGAGGATGTGAGTACGGAGTTCTTTTTCACTTAACTGCTTGGTGCAGAAGGACGCAATAAGTACTTTTTTGTGTCGGTAGAAATTGAAGCCGATTTGCGGACTGATCTTTGCAGTGCTGCGAGACATCGACAATAATGGGGATAGCGAATCTAGGCGGGCGAAGGAGGGAGAGGGGGACAGTAGTGAAGGTGCACGGGTGGTTATGGCGGGTTGCGGATCTCGCCGCTTCCTGCGACTTGCACTCTCCGCTATATCAGCGGTGAGTGTGCTTAGTCAACGTAACCGCTCACGCCTCACAGAGGCCTTCCTTACCCTGATGTCCAATGTCTTCGACGATGAGGCACTGCCCCTCCTTACATCGCCTCTCGAGTGGACTCATCTCCTGCCCTTTAAGGTGGCAGCCAACTCCGGTGCCTATGTTTCCAAGACCTGCTCCATTGAGTGAGCACAATTGCTTTTAATTTGTCTTACTTTTATTTACGGTCATTCACCAAAACCTAATGCTCCTCTTTGATTTGAACAAATGTTAAAGAATGCTTTTGAATATTTTCGTCAAAACTAATGACTAAATTTTCCATAAAGTTGGTTTTCTACATTTTTGGCTTAATTTGTGTGTATTTTAGTGCTGTATGGATTCTAGGATGACCCACTTTATCGATGTGTCGTGAAATCCTTCCGTCAAGTGTTATCAATAGCTTACGTTGTCAAACTCACCACCTCTGTTTTTCCCATTTCTGTATATGAACATTAAACCGTAACATGAGCAGTTTCCTTTACACGTATTCGTAAAAAAAGTATAACGTTTTCCGTTTGATCAGTTGCTTCATAGGTACTATTAAAAGATATTTTTAGTTGAATTCACTTGCATGTTCATTGCGGTGGTTATGCACTGAAAACAAGTAAATCCGCTCGTTAGTGTGCTATGATCAGCATTTTGAGACCGAATTAAAATCAACAAATGTTCCGTCAAATAATGAAATGTTGATTTATTCCAAAGATCCCTCAATGTTTTACGTACGCATTAATTTCGAACCTCTTAGTTTGCTCTCTAGATATCGGCTTTGCTTTTTTCAATACGACTCCGGGTCAAGCTCAGAGGGCATATTTCGGTAGTTGACATAAATTAATTAATGCGGATAGTTATCTACTATTTTGAATTAATGCATTTTTTCTTCTGTGCGGCATTATTTTTTACCAATTTTATTATTTTTATGTTGCAGGAAGAAGAATTTGACATTCCGTTATCATAAAACATTGCAGCATCATTTTTATTTGAAAAGGTTTTCACTGAGGTTACCATAGCTTCTTGCAATTTCACAATCGCATGCTGTAGTCTCTTCGTTTATTACTTGAATCGCATGACTGCGCCACTACAAGATAATTATGGCCTGCATTAAAGTGAGGGACAGTTTGCATTTAGCAGAAAGCAAAAAGCATTTCCACTGTGAACATAAGTTGTACAGATATCGGTTTGTGACATCTTTTGGAGGCTAGTGCTGAATCTAGATGGTAAAATTCCTGGCTTATATTGTAAAGGATTTCTGTGTGGATAAGCTGTCGTCCGAATGTTCGTCTTGGTGACTATTGAGTACTAAAAGTTTTTCACACTCACAGACGTTTAGGGATATTGAGGCTTTGTGGCGCCCCGAGTTGTCCCCAAAATGATAAGAAATGCCAGAAAAGAAGGAGGTTTTGTCCTCACCAACCAGAAGGATTATGAAGCTACATGCGTGGACTTGTCCGGATCATCGAGATTGTAGTAGAACTTGCGAAGATCAAAGAGCACACGAAGTTAAATATGAGCTTCAATACAATTTTACCGCAACTTATCTTACACATGCATGTGCTCGGGTATTTGAGGTACCAAAGAAGCCTTCAGGGTCTACTACCACCACTTATCCTCTCCGCCTTGGAGTCTCGCTTTACCGACTGCGTGCGCGGTGTGTGCTACGGTGTGACCCGCCACCTTGTGGCTACTTGCCACCACGCCACAATGCGACCGCGCACGCGCTTTGAGGGGGGGAGGGAGGAGGCCGAGGGCAATGACGATCCCACCCACCTCCTTGGCCTCTCCTCCGAACAGCAGACCGAGCTAATGGCACGTCTCCTTCCCTCTTCCCTGGATCTTCTCTGTGTTGGGCTGGAGCTAGAGCACTGGACCAGTATTGTTGCCGGCGCTGCTGATAATTGTGAGTAGTATGAGCATCCCTTCAAACCTTGTTTCTTCCAGCTAATGCAAGACGAGATTAAAAGGTTCATGAGAGTTGAAATTTGGCTTAATTCACGATTTTGTCAAGGGCTTTGACCGTTCATGTACTACGCATCGTTAGGACCGATATTTAACACTATTTAACCCTTGTACCCTTTCAAATTCCCGTCACTAGGAGCAAATTCTTACTTGGAAGCGTTTTTAGCACCAGATGGTACGATCCTTCGGTTGATTAAACAGCTTGCTTAATTGCTGATCGTATGTTGCGATTTTGTCCAGTGGAGCAGTTGACGTAGTATTTTAATGTTGTTTTTCGTTGATTAAGGATTAAGATTCAGATGAACTTTCTGCCCGTCAGAAAACCCTTTAAATAACCAAACGATTTTCGATAACAAAAGGGCAAATTAGGTTTTTCCTGCTTACGACTCGGTTTACTAAATTTGCGTAAAGTATCTTGTTCTACTTCCATCTACTGTTGTTTTATGGAGTTTCATAATTTTCCCCCCTCTGTTTTAAGGAGGTAGTTCTAATGAGAACAGAATTTAATTGGTAAAACTTTGACGGATTGCTAACGGGAATTGGTACTGATCTGATAAAAAAAGAAGGCTGTGATGTCAGCAAATATGTCGGTTAACTGCGCCACTGCTGGTATTTCCGATCACAATGCCCTTTTATTTGTTTTTTTGAAACAACATCACCTGGACTTTCGAGTTTTTAAGTGCGCTTATCTTCAGTTGAGCATTTAACAGTTCTTTCCTTTGATTTCTGTTTTTAATCAAGTGGGCCGTTGACCCTTCTCGTCAATCTAAGTTTCTTGTCTTCTTTTTATTAGCTGCGCTTGATTTATTCGAATTTCTTCAAACGGGTATTTTAGCAAATCTCTGCCTCTGATGGTTTATGTATGCATGTTTTCATTTATTCGCCAAGTACTTTCGTCCAAAATGTCGTTCAGTTCCGATTGGGAATGGCCGTTGAGAACATGATTTCAAAGCATCAGCCTAGTTAGGTCACTCTCCAGACCACAGTTGGGTGCGTTCGGCTGATTGTAATATCTGGTAGTATTTTATTAAGTCGAATGATGAGATCTAATCCTTTCTCTGAACCACAAACAGGATTTGCATCAAAGTGAAGAGCAAGTGCAGCTTGAGTGGATGTCTATAACATTTTAACGCAATATACTGTAGGGCGCACTTTATTCAATGCAGCGTTCAAAATGCCCATTTGAAAGTTAAGTATGAATTAGCCGTTTAAGCAACCCCACGCTATTGATGAGGGATTCTAGTTGTTACATGAGTGTACAGGTAAAAAGGCCGTAAATTCACTAATGTAGCTCGCCCATGGACTTGTTCAGTTGAAAGTGGTGAATTAATTTCTTTTTTCTATCTTAAATACTCTAAACAGATGGATTTTTAAGGCGTTTTGAATTTTTATTCAAACACCCTTAACTAGTCTCATTCAACTCTCTGTTGCTCTTTAATATTTGCACAAGGTGTATTCAGAATCCGGCTCTACTTCAACTCCTAACCGATTATCTAGTTAAACTTCATGTTAGTATGAGCATGAAGCTGTAACAGTGGATATGCAATGAGCGTTTGTGAAAATCTGGTCCGAGTTATTCATCTTTTTTCCTTCCTATCGTATAGAAAAACATGATTAATGGATCTAGATAGATAGGTAAGACTTCTATAATTCTATGCACGCAGCGCTTGTCTGCCCAGCACTTAACAGTTTTCCTCAGGTGTTCAAAATTTCCTTCTCTATCGATATTACTCATTTTTTGCCGGAGATAAAGGCAAGCTTGTCAATATAAAAAACTGGCTTACATAGCTTTAATTTTCACAGCTAATTACCGATTACTTAAGGTTTGAGTAAGACAAATTACATGAAGAGCGGTTACTTTCCAGCCCTCTTATTTGAATCGTTCAGTTTTTATCACGCATTTTCAATTAATGTTAGTGAAGGGATTTGTTTGCAGGCTAAATGAAAACAAATAGCTTTTGACGCTTTAGCTATTCCACTTGTGTCTTGTCTCTGTGATTCTATGCCTCTCACCATGCACGTATATATGCAAGTAGGAGATAGCAACTAGATTCTTTCATCGTTCTGTCAACTGAGTCCCTATAGTCGCGCAAATATATTCCATTGGCAAAATATTCTACCCCCTCTATATTCGTCTATGGGTTTCTTGTTCAGCACAGTAGTAAATATTGGTATCACTAGCTCCATTTATGAGCAGCGACTCCGTTTTTTATTGCTTTCGATCCCTTTTGATGTATTGTTAAAGGTTTTTTGTGTTAAGAAAATAATTCAGCCGACAAAGGTGTTTGTATTCATTTATCTCTTTGTATTAATTGCTTTATGATTCGTTTCGTCAAGCGGTTGTCTGATACTTTGAGGACAATTTGCTTTTCTATGAGATTTTGTCCACTCCACTAAACTTTACATTTTCCTAGTCGGTCAGAACAGCTTTTGCTTAAGTGCATCCAATTCTGTCTGAAGACTCTGGAGACTCTACTTGAGGGCACTACAAGTGGTTTGAACACGCTTCACATTGGACCCTTTTTTGACTGAAATGAGTCTTACCCATGCACCTTCGGAATGTTTAATGAAATCGAATCCACTTTAGCACTCAAAACGTGTGTAACAAAATTTGCGCTCCTTAAAATGCATATTTTTATCTTTGACAGAGGTTTCAGCTGGCAAAGTAGTCTTAACTCTCGTTATTTCCGATTACTGAACCAAAAGCACTTTTATTTGTTGTCATTTCGTATAAACCTATGCAAACTGTGACTCATTTGTCATCTTCGACCACGGCGAATCCCATAGTCACGCTATTTTGCTGGTCACATATGCTTGTTAAAACCTAAATTTTGGGATTTACCTTACTTATAGACCAAATAAACAAAATCTTTTATCCTACAGCATTTACAAAAAAAAAACATTTCAGATAGTTATCTTTGGAAGCTAAAGCACACATTGCAAGTGCATCAGTTATAAAACTCTCCTTTCCTAGATCTGCTTAGATTTGCTGCTTTTCTCTGATCACATTTTTCGCCAAGTTGCAATAATAGTTTTGATGTCTCCATCAAGTCTAACGGAAGTTACAAATGACCGAAGCATCTTAAGCTTGACAACTACAATTACCCGCCTCTTTAAGGCGTGGGTAAAGTACCAGTGTTTATTGCTGCTTAAATGCCACTTTTCATTGTTATTTTCAACCCAGGCATGGCTGTTCAGAGTCCTGGGGATTGTTTGAAGTCTTTTGATAAGATAAGCGCCTTTTTGTTATCCCTACTCTCTTGTTGATGACTTTAAGTTTTATCTATTCACTTTCATTTTACCTTCTGCATTTTTCTTATTACGCATTAGTATATTGAGCATACATGACCTTTTTATTTTGTAGGAGCGATTTGACAGTGGTTCATCTATTTATCGTTCCGATGTATATGCAACATAGTCGGCTAAATTTATCTATACATCTGTAATGCTTTTTTTTACTTGGCTACTTTCTGTGTATATTAATGAATATCTACTCTAAGTAACGGTTCAAGAATGACCATAAAGATAAAGGTAACGATTACCAGTGATCAGTGAACTATAAATAGCATTAACGACCGAATTTGTCTTTTATTTGGATTTCGTAAATGACAGTGTGAGAGAACTCAAAAAGAATTTAGACACATTTGAATGTCTCTACTACCTCTTCCTTTTTCTTGGCCTCTCTTCCTTTACTGTGCTCTGGTGGTTCGTATGTTGTCGTGAATTCCATTTGCCACGCGATTCTTTCCCGACATCTTTAATGTGGCTCTTGCCCTGCCTCTCACCTGGTTACTTGGCGGATTGAGACAAACAGTAACACATCGCTTTTGGGCTTTCCGTTTTATCGCGTCCTGAGTTAAATGAAGCTTTATCTAAGTCTTAAATGGGGTAATTTATAGAACAATTGAGTGGTGTAAACAGCGTTACAGAAACAATTGGTGTGTCAGAGTTCTCCCTGATGCCGCAACACATCATCCTGATAGAACTTCATTACAATTTTCAGAAGCTTTGGTCAGCTGTTGGTAGAAATGCCACAAATGGATTTTCATGCTGCCAAGGTGGTGACCGAGACCTAAAGACACCCAAACAAGCATCTTTCTGTCACAGTCACAGAGGAGGTGAAATGGAACGGAACTAGTTTTCAGACGATACCTCATGAGCTAATTGGTTAATTTCAGCCAAGGCGAATCCGTTGTCACACTGTTGGATCCAGGGTGCAGTGCCACGAATTCGGAGAGCCTTTGAAAAGGCACTGGGGGCGTCGTCGTCATCTTCCAGCCCAATGTTGCGTTTTGGTGGAACCAGTGGAGAAATGCCGAGTCTGGCGCTCACTATGACACCCTCTTTCTGGACCGACCACCTGCGTATTGTTTTATGGTCTGCCTACATGGCCTTTGAGTGGACCCTTGCTGGCGTCTCCGCGTCTTCCGCTTCTGCCCCTTCTGCCAGTGACTTTGATGCGCACCGCAAACAGCGCGCTGCTTTCAAGGCCATTTTCTATCGTGCTGTTGAGGACCTCCCCTGGGCTAAGGTGGATTCTATTCTTTCCTCCCCTTTCCTGCCTCTGTCGTATCGCTTCGAAATACCAATACTACTAGAATCACTTACCCTAGCTTTTAATCCCGTTCCAATGCATCGGTTTCCTTTTTAGCACTTGTTGCAAGTGCCGCTCCCCTATATTACTTTTCTGGCGTGGGAGTGCATATGAGCTCGATTCGTAGTTTCCCATCTCCACGGTTCAATTAGGTTCTCTCTTATACTATCTCAAAAGTAGATAATTTTAGTGGTTTCATGATATCTTTGTTGTACATAATCTAGTTGGACTGCTTACTAAATCTAATGCCACTTGATGATTTTAGGTGTTATACACGGACTTGGCTCGCTACTGCCCAGAGGACGCTGAAGAGGTTGTTGATCTTTTGACCTCTAAGGAGTTGCGATTGCGCACATTCATGGAGGAGGTCGATTTGCTCCTCACCTCGAAGCTCCCCTAAAAGTTAGGCTCCCCACCAGCCTTTGTGTGGTTTTCACCTATGTACAGCTACATCTTTATTTAAATTTTTAAGAGAAGACCTGTTTATATGTTCAAAGTGGAAACTTTTAATCTTTACACATTACTGAAGGGTTTGGGAGGGATGTGTTGTCTTATCAAAAATTAAAAACAACGCATGGTGCTAGATTTCTGTGATTCTGGCGACCAGTAGAATTGACAAAAGTATAATGCAGGCGCGATTCTGGTAGAATTGCGAAATGTAATGTTTCTTTTTAAATACTTACATGCTTTCCTCAAGTAACTAGTTGCAATCTCGTCTCTATTCAATGAAAGGAAACCCATACCCATGAGCCATCTTATGAATTAAAAACCTCTCTGAGGGTCACAATCTTGGGAAATTGCACCAATTTCCAAAAACGTTTCGAGGAACGCTAGATGTGGTGGTTAGTTAGTCCAAAGCTCCTCATGAAATTTTTAAATGCGGTTATTTCCTTTGAATGAGCTCATGGGAAGTGCTGTTTCTGACTAACCAGGCCTGGGAAAAGGTCAGAAGATCAATTCAAATCTTCAGAGCATTCTGCGCTTTCCCGTATGGAGTGTTTGTGGGCCATTTGGCATCACCGTTAGTTCACTGCTTTACTAGTCAGTCGATCCACATTTTTAGGGTGTACTTAACCGGCCTTAGGGCAGCTAGCATTTATCAGTGCTAAGTGGGTGTTTGCAATGTTACTGCGGAAAGATCTTCACCGCGGCTGTCAGAGTTCCAGAAGTGCCGCTTTTCTGTGATATTCCAATTGTGAATACTGCTTAAATTCCTAAGAAAAATTGAACATTTTAACTTGATTCCAACCCGGTGAAAATATATGGTGGATGAATGAGTACCATGGAGGTAATTGGCATACCTCTCCAAACAAAAACAATTGGTACACCCTTCAGAAGCATTTGACAGCGGAGTCTATGCGCAATTTAGGAATGTCTTAGGTGAAGATCTGGACTGGACCTAAACTGACAGCCTGGGGTTTAAAATTTATATTCCTTGTGATTCTTGCTAGGACCGTCCAGAAAAAGGTTTGGTTTGCTAATTCCACACCTTTCCTGCGGGTATAGAAGCAAAAACTGCCTAAAGCACTCATTTTAATGTGCTAATTATTATGTCAGGTTACTATGGGTTCATACAGTTTAACAGTGCATTAGCATCACCATTTATGTTTTCGTACCGTCATCAAAAACAACTATCTACTCCCAAAATAATGCTTTACTTTATTGAGTGTGTATATACTACTTCGATCATTTGTTTAACTCTTTTTTGAGTTTGTGGGCAATTAAGACTTCGCCTTTGTACTTCTGCTAAACTGGCACGGCCTTCGGGCCATGCCAGTGGCCCCTCAGCCCTTCTGTATGTCGGGAATGCGTATTCTGCCTTAATATTATGTCTTCTTTCGACCTCAGTGACGACTGGGGGCGCTACACATACACGTTTACAGGGGGAAGTCGTTATGATTAATTATAAAACTGACAACGAAAAGTGCTTTGTCTGTTCACCACTATTTGTAAATTACGGCATATAATACAAATATAAATTACGGTTTTGTAGTGATTTAATTGTGCTTAACTGCTGGATCTTTTCGGTTGCCACGATTTGGGCTGCCTGCAGGCGGCGTGGCTCCGTGATAATGCCTATAGCCCGCTGTCCATTCTGTACCACTACTTCGAGAGAGGTTCGGGACGCCACAGCTGTTATTCAAATATGACAACCAAATGCATGGTATCCGAGGGCACCTCTAACTGTTAAAATACCAGCTTAGGTCAAGGTACTTGTGTAATATTGTAGGGGAAATGTGTTGGTCACGAAAAATATGTGGAGGATAATGTTTGCGTCGTTTCTGCTTTCACCCGTTATGTTAAAAGTCCATAACAATGTTAAGCTTTGCAGGGTCATTTTACTTATTTGTTATTCCTTTTCCTTTTAATTCAAAATGCGATAAATTGGGATTTGGAGAACCACGAGCATCCTAGAAAGGTGATGCAAGGTTTTTAACGAAATAAATCGTTTTCATGGTTTAAGCTTGACATTTCGATACATATTTGGATTAATTTTCCGGATGTTCTGCCCGCCATGTATTGTCAATGGTGAAGTCGTTAAGGTGAGATCTCCTTTTCATATTTGCTATCCAATCGGTGGCCTGGTTTCTCTGTAACACGTATTATCATGAGTTTAATCCTTGCATTTATGTGTAGATATTTTGGTTTTTATCCACTTTTCCCAAGTATGGAGCTGTAATGTTCCAACTTTTAGCTCTTCCCTACCAAAGTGACCTTCGTTCGCAGGTTAGAAGTGATTCCTCCCTCTTCAAAGGGTCGACCGCATAGCGCTGCTTACGCACATCCGTATTTTTCAAATCCATGATTTGAAAAGTGGCATCGTGTTGGTATGACTAAAATCAGCAGTTTTAACTCCAAAATTGTGTATTTTATAAAATGGAAATGAGTGAGGTGCTTTTCACAGTGGCACCTCTTCGTTTAAAAACGGATTAACCCATATTGCATACTCACACAACCGAATGCTTCACAATTTATTGTGGCTGATCTATTTGGGCATTAAGGGATTTACAAAACAGAGAAGTATTGTCATGGCTGCATTCCGTCATTTCGCTTGTTCTCAAAACATGGAACACCCTTAATTTACAAATTCACTTTACTGGCCTAATGAGTGCGAACTAGCGCATCCGTGATTACAATATAAGTAAGGCGACAAGAAAACAGTATAAACTAATCGTCAGTTAATTTTTAGACATTGCTTGGGTCCTAAACGTGTAAATAAGTCTCTCACACTTATTATGAAAGTCCACTCTTAATGCCAGCTTGCTGGTATTTTGATATGTGCCCTGCTGCCTAAATAAATGACCCTGATCTATTTCCTGTTGGCAATGGTTTTTAACCATGTAATGGAGTAATCAGAACCGTAAACGGTAAAACATTCACTTGTAGCCGTGTCTTTTTAATCTTGAACCCTTTGACTAAGATGAATGGGAAAAATAACTATTAACAGAGCTCTTAATGCAGACAGCAGGCACGCAGATCAAAAGTGTACACAATCTTGATGGCGGAATTGCGCTAAGGGTGTGAATGAAGTAGCGTCAGAATAGTCATTTTAAATTAACAAACCGCTACGGGTCATTCAGGTACACAGACTCTGGGAATTTGTTCAGTTTTTTTTTCAGAAGATGGTTTTGCCAAGTGGCTTGCTTCTTTCCAATTCCACGGCAAAGTAACACCGCACAATAGAATTTGTTGTGGGTGCACATGCACTGAAGTAGAGCAAGCTCATTAAAATTTCAACAATTTAATTCATGCAAGTTATTACTTAGGATCATTTATCAACCTCCAAGGTATTAACAAGTATGGGTTATTTTGTCAAACGCACTGTAGGGATTAAATCAGGCAACCAGATCGGGTGCATAAACTTTTAAAATCACTTGAGTTCCCAAACACTCCTTAAATAGAGTCAGGAAGTGTGCTTGAGCCTTAGAATAAGCACTTTTTAACTGGAATTTAGCTAGAGGAGTCGTAAAGCTTAAGTGAACCCTATTTCCATCCCGTGGGCCTTTCGTAAAAAGTGACTTCCAGAATACCTTTATTGCACAGAAAGATTATCAGCTTAATAAGGGTTTGATCCCACCAACCAGGATTGAGGACTCAGATTTACATGTAAGGTCGCCTAATTCATCAATTCTGTAGGTGTTCTTTTCAACCGCGTGGTTTATCCTTAAATTTTGCTGAATGGTGAATTTACCTAGGCAACGAGCGAGTTTCTTTGAAGAACCACTTTCAGCGCTTTTTCCCCTTTCAAAGGTTTCAATATATTTCAAAGGATAGCATTCATTAATGCAGACCTACGATTCTCTAAGGAGTAGAAAATTATTAATGCAGAAGTAATTAAAGTAACCTTAAAGTGTAAAAATATAGGTGATTTCCGCAAATAAGTTTTTGTTCAGGTTGAAGTAAGTCAGACTGCAACGTGACGAGTACATTGCATTAATCTGGAGATCAGCCGTGGATGTAGTGTACGGCTTAAAGCAACGTTTTAAAGGAACAATCATTTAAGTGCGTGTAGCTCGATGTTTTGCACTTACATTCACCCGAAATCTTTTTACATGGGAAAAAAGTAGTTGCACCACTTTTTAAACCATCACTTACGCTAGTAAGTCACGTCTATGATGGTGAGATTAACCCCGGTTTAGCGAAAATGTGGAACTTCCAAGCCATTTTTTTATCACGAGCATTTGTTCGCATGATACATGAACTATAGTCAAGGTAGAAAGTGTAATGTTTTAAAAGTTCAACAGTGCTCACCCTGAAGTAATGGAATTATTATTGTAAATGCACATATTATGTTTACTCTCACTTCAATCTGGCCAGTGTAAAATAAGCGGTTTGATAAGCACTTTTGGCAGTAACGATCATGGTGCTTTATGAAAAAGTAATGTGACATCAAATGGCAGTGCGGCGTAATGCAGCCACACGACCATTTAAGTTAGATTTTTATCCACACGCAACCCCAGTATTACACAGAGTCTTCAAGATTATTTGGAGGTGAATTAACTCACATGGCTTAAATTTAAGCGACAGGTAAATCGGGAGGTTGCGTAAGCTTCCACAGTGATAACGCAGGTCGACAAGTCCGCATTTTAAGCAACTTCCATTTTAATAAAGGGCATGAAAGCTAATTTGCTACCAGCGCCTCTAGTGTTGGGATTGCTTATCTGCGCAATCTTCTGCAAAGCAGAAAACTAGTGAATTCACTTTTGAAAATTTGATGCTAGCGAAATGCGCGGAGAATGGGTGTTTGGTCAATCAGGTAAAGGTTTCAGTCTAATAATGAATTCATCACTTTAAGGCTGATGGCTGTCGATCCTGTGTACATGAGGTTGCACAGCCCTTATGGGTCGGCCATCATTCTAAGGTCATGACGCCCCAACTATACCTTACCTTCTTAGCTATTCTGCACGTTGCTAATGAAAGTTATTACGGCCCAAAAAAGTCCTCTCAAATCAGAAATCACTCAAATATAGCTATTTTACTGGGACTTTTGCATTGTTACTTTCCCTATGTATTGCTGTTTGAGTGAAAATTCTATCGCTTCATTAGTTCAACTTAAAAACAGAAAATAAAAAAATTGGAAACATGGTCGATCACAAAGAGCTAGCTTTGAATGTGAGCTTAACCTACTTCAAATTTTTTGAAAACAATTGAAATGCCTTACAGAATGCTATAAATAGATGCTTGTGTGAGGAAAGGGCACTGCTTATCTGCATAATCAAATGCAGTGAGTCGATTGGCTAAAACTCTTTTAATGACATTATTGACCGTTGAAGTTGGGGTGGCAGTGTCTCTTCTGAAGCACTTTACTATTCTCACTAGAAAACCATATTCATCAATAACATGTTGAGCAAATGGTAAGCATATAAGTGATTCAGTTTCTTTTTGAAATCCCCTAAAACTTAATCCAGCATTTACATCCTTTCGCATTGATGATACTGAATAGTTGGGGTAGCAACCACATTCAAATGAGGAGAGACTATTTATTCACGTAGTGATGAAAACTAGTGTAAGTGAGTCTGCTCCTGCTCAACTCTGCATCCTTTTACCTTAGGAACTTGGAAACACGTTCGACACCTCAAAGGATTTTTAATCCACTATGCTAGTCTTCTGCTGTGCTTAAAGCCCTCAAGCTCACGACTAACTAAAGCTCTCGCCACTTTCTACCTAAAGAAGTCAGAAGTCCCAACCATTTCCTATTATTGGTAAAAATGTTCAACCACTGCTACTTGAACTGGCGCCGTCAGACACCACTATTTTATTGTCCCTCAGCCCATATCTCAACTCCGCAACTTTTGTAAAACCGACAAGTGTTGGGTGTGTGGTTGAATATCTTATTTAAAAAATGTAGTTTGGTTCTGTGAATAATTATTCTATACACTTTTATTTACTGGTTTATTAATTAAGTTCTGAATTTGGAAAAATTTTGCAGCCTTTGATTATCTTTTCATAAATCTGTCTACCAGGATGACATAATGGTTGCATTTCGGACATATTATTAACTTCTTCCTGGAAGTAAAGGCCTTTTCCCAACTTCTGTAAAGCGGTATTAAAGAGAGGGAATAGGACCCTCTACGCTCCAGAGCTATTTCCGGTCAAGAAATGCATGTTTTTGCTTAACAAACCGGTAATGTAAATTCAAGAACGGAATAAGTGATCTTCCGTCCGATTATCAAGTGATATGTAATTAATTACTTTGCCTATTATTCGTGTTCATAAAGGCTCTCTAAAGTTGGTTTTATTTATTAGGATTTCTTGAATTATTCCTCAAGGAAATGATGTTCCTATGACTGCTCTTAATCAATCCTTTTAAAACAATAGCTGCTGTGCAGCAAACCGTGTGGAGACGAGTCTGTGGGCCTTGTCAGCAAGACCGTCAAGTAGTCACGTGGATGGTGAGGTGTCAGCAATGGGGAGCCACTCGGACTGAGGAGAAGTCGTCAAACCAGTGAGCAATAGGAAAGAAAATTGAGTTGTTGCCCCAAAACGGCAACAAATACTCGTTGGAAAGTTGAGTCTGTTAAGTACAATTTGACCATTCATTAAGGGGTGCCAAATTATATAAAAGTCTTAAATAACTTTGATGCCCCTGAAAATGCATAATTTGTATACTTGATTTTGGGGAAACCGTACTTATGCTATAGATAGTCATAATATTTCTGCCAACTCTAAAGTTACAGCCAATTCTGGACCACCCTAGGCAATTTCGCTGTGAAATTTGATTTGATTTCATTTTGCATTTACCCAAATTCACTTACCGTTATTTTGTCTGTTAAGAGGGACAAAGATGGAAAAGTTGCGATAAACAGAAGCTCAAAAATCTGTTCCTTCACTTATAAACAGCTAGCATTCGTTTCCTTTTAGCGCTAAAGCCGAGCTTTTAACGGTCGACAGATGACACGATCAATCCAAATTATTTGCTTCGGCATCCTCGTGTTGAATGTCTTAGATGTAGTTCCGACTCTGATGTAGGTCTGACGGCCGATACCAAATAGGCGATTCGGTTGTACGCTAGTGCTTTCCCACTTACTAAACGAATGGTCATGCTGTTTACGCTAACTTCCAAGTCAAGTTTCCACAGTCGATGCCGCACCAATTATTCACAGGCATAAAATGTTTGTAAAATAGATGGATTAATCTTATTCTGGTTTATCTCCTTATACGTAGTTCACTTCAAACATCTTCCCAACATTATTTCGGCAACCTTTAGTACAATATTACTAAAAAGTTAGTTGTTTTTACCTGAGAGTTAACGAGTAACTCCATTCGCATCTCAAATCAGAATTTGTGAGGTGGATAGTATGGGTATTCAAATTATATTTGACGCAAATATCAAAACGACATACCAAATGAGTACTTTCGTATGCAACGAAAAATTGATCGTTTAAATACCACCTGATCATTCCGTCTTCAGTGAAAGATGTTTCCGGCAAACTTTCCATGGGGATGTGTCAACTAATTTGATCAAGAAAGAAGTTGTTATTAGCAATATGAGACTCAACGTGAATCACAATCGGAACTACCCACTAACTGATGAGGAAAGACAGTTTGCAGATTCGATTTCACTAATTGTTCATATTGGCAGGACGGAACTCCCTGGGGTAAAGCTCTAAGAAATTAATTCCAAAAATAGCGGAGCAGGGACTGCAGATTTCACGCTAGCTTCAAGCTTGGCCAGAATGTTGGCTTAGGACAATAATTATGTGTTGAGGCTATTCTTCTCCAGCTTCGCACTTTTCACAGGCCTGTTAACTCAAACAGCGCTTGACCTTACTGGTAAAATCTCAAGACAGCATTATTGCCACTTTCCCCAAGTGCCTTTCGAAGTACAAACCTACCATTCTTGATTCTGTTTCAACGTTTAAATTCTTCCATTTTCTACCATGGCAAACAGTCAGCAACAGGTGAATCAACAGCTAAGCTGGATTTAGTATTGTGGTATAGAGCAACAAGTTGTTTTTTTTTTGCCTTATGTTATGATAAAACTTTTGATAAAGTCTTAAATTGACGTAGAAAAGTTGACAAATGCCAAAATTTGGACGAAATAATAATGTTTGCTCTCAGTCACAATCATTCCTTCATCCCACGTCGCCATTAATCACCCAGTTTGTCCAAAGCGAAGAAGGCTTATCAAATTGGCAATTTAAGTCAGAAGTCAAATCAAGACACTTTCCATTTGTTAGAAAATAAGATTGGTTCCAACCATATCCAATCGAAATAGGAATTCGATTGGCAAGCATGTTTCGCTTGGATACACGGCATTGAATGCCAGAGCTTTTTGCTACGAAGTATTCATCGGTTCCTTTTAGTTTCCCTCCTAATTAGCCTACAGCTAAATATTATCTGATTTACTGTGGGGGCCATTACCAATTCCAATTCAGCATAAGCATACTGTGCCGGGAGATTTATGCTTAACGGCTTACAAGCACATAAGTAGTTTTTTGGATATATTCCGTGATCCAGTAAAACATTTTACAAGACTTATTTAAACATATGGCCAAACTCTTTTAATAAATTTCGGTATTATATTTTTAGGAAAATATAATTTATTGTGCTTTCTTAATGCTTAGCAAATATGTATTTAATTAGGTGGCTTGACCCACCGCAATATGGAGACAATACGTGAATACAAATATAATTTGCGTTGAATAAAGCCCAGGCACCAAATTGCCAGGAGTTTATGCAAACAAACATGGACATTGCGAGTCATGCCGAAAGCCTTACAGGGGTGATTGGAGGCGTGGGTTTTGGCCACAAATGGAAAAGTGACACATGACAACCTACCCTGTAACCTCAAGTTCAAGTTGGTGATGGGGCGTAAAAGTCCATACCATGGAAGGGTTCAAAGGCACTTCTGTTTATTTTCGCTATGATGAATCATGGCTACCACTGTAAGACAGCAAAAAATATTCTGCATCGAGCATGGTCGTAAATTGATGTCAGGAATTTGAGTTAAAGAAGTACAATTTAGACAATGTCTTTCACTATTTAATGAATGAATCTGAACTTTCAACAGGATTACTCTTAGTAAAAAATGCTCCTTTACATCTCCAAAACTTTCTAATGACACAGCAATTTTTATAAAACGATCTAAATAACCTACCCTTATGCTATGAGATCAAAAAAACTCATCAAAACAGATAAAAGAAGCACATCTGACAACTTTCTTCGTATATATACACACCAGAAATATCAAAATCTGTGAAGATGTCGAAAATCACACAGTCTGAATGCTGGCCTGTTGCTTCAAATGCATTTCCAGAGCCTGTCCCAAAATATTGGCCGTCTCGAAAAGCTCTGTTGTCGACTCTGCGTTTGGAGGTGAGAGATTGAAATCGGAGGAGACCCTGCGAATCGGCGGCCCTGCGTTTGCAAACTCTGTATCCCGATTGATGTCGTTTAAGCTCCTACATCTTTGATTTTCAAGTGACTTCTGGAGATGACCGTTATTCCTCAGAACAACCAAAGCCAGAGGTGATGCACTACCACTTTTCGTACTTCCATGTACCGAGTACACCGACGCGCGAAGTTCATCGAATTCTGCGAAGGAATAAGAGATGCCATTGGCAGCGGATGACGATGGGACCTGGATCACTTCTTCGAACAGTGTCCTCGCCTCGGTGCCGTCATCATGCGTTTCTAATTCAACAAAATTAAGGCTATTGCTTCGTTTAATACCAGGGAACTGATTAGAGTGACCAGTATCGTCAGTATTTTCGTCGTGTATTCTAATTACAGGTATATTCTGGCGACCGGCTGACCAGCAGGACATGGCCAGTTTCACAGACCCCTCAGCCAAGTGGCGAAATTGCAGGGTGTTTCGAGGGTCAGTAGAGTCTTTTCGAAATGGCGGTGAGTATCGAGACAAGGAATAAATGCCCTTCGGACATTGTTGGAAGAGAAGTTCAATGTCATTCATTTTGATTTTATTACTTAAGTCCTCTGACATCAGACGAGGTCCCCTACGCCTCCGATTTTGTGCTTTGCTCTTACTAGACAGATTTGACAGCCTACCATCAGAGGAGTGCGCACGTGATGTCTCCAGAGCAAGGGCAATGAGATGTGTAGGTCGGGAGTTTTCATCTTCGCACACGGGGGAGTTTGAGACGGCTTGATGATGATGGAGTTCCTGGACCATCCCGGAAAAATTTGGACACACACAAGTTGGTGAAAGTTGATAGAGTATCTGTTGTACTCGAAGAGAGGCTGTCAGGGAACTGGCCGAAGACCATTTGGGCAGGATGTTCTCAACAAACATCACTGTTCTTAATATGATGGTAGTAGGGGGACTGTTGGTTTATGTAACGGTAGACAATCTTCATTGCGATTGGTCAACATGTCATCAGATCTGTTGGCCAATAAAATGAAGCGATATTTGGAGCTTGCTAAGGGCAAATTCAAGAGCAATCTCTCCATTTTTATTACTCAATGTCTACATCAGTGAGCTTCATCAAATGCCCATTTATTTAGAGGGCCACTAGTTAAATAGTACTCGGCCTTTAAGTATTTCTTAGTTATCTTCATTTTGCTTTCAGGTATCTGACTGAAGTAGGAGACCCTACCGCGAACTGGAAAGGTAAAATCCTGCATAAAAACTTCAAGATGGAACTTTCGTGTTGGTTTTAAGATATTCACAAAGTATAAATGCATACAGTTTCGTGCTATTATTTGAAGAACATTGGCTATTGTGGAAAAGCCGGAGGACATTAATTGTTCGGGGTTTATTATTTTTTTAAAGCGATTTGTTTAGAGCATCCACCTGAAATCTTGCAGCGGGTCTCACTGTTCAGATGTCGGGAAGTTGTAGAAAGCGAAATTGGGGAATTCATTCCGATTGTCGAAACTCCCTTATTCAGTCATCTCTGCTCATTTACATCTAGCTATCCTGGCTATGGGAGGAATAAGGGGAGAGCGAAATTAATGTTTTCATTTCGGTCAAAAATGGTTCAACAAGGGATATCAAAAAGATCTCGATGCTAATTTAAAGCGTGATACTGCTCAAGAGGGATTAAGGTACTTCCAAAAAAGACGCGTCAATCTAAAACATGAATCGCGCAATGCTTTACATACTAACCGCTTCATTTCCGGTAAGTCTCGTCTGTTACTATTCAAAATTAAGGAATAAGTAAGTGAAGCTGACTTGGGATGATTGCGGATTCTGTGTAGCATAAAACACCACATTCAAAGAGACATTGAATCTAGCGCAGCAGTAACAAATCATTCCGACATTTGTGCTTTGATGGGCATCTAATAATGTAAAGCTTCTTTTTAAAAGTTGTGAAGTAAATGTTTATTCCTAATAACATTTTCAAAATCCGTAATAAATTGTCATAAACAGTAAGAATCTTTGAATCGTTAAGCAATTTTTCACGGGGTTACGAGGCATAAGTACCTCGGCTCTCCATCTTTTGAATGTGTGCCTATAATTCCAGCGCATGGTCTTTGCCTTTCCCATGTTGGCATAAAATGGGAAACTGGGATTGTCTTTGAAACCATCCTTGTATCTGTGATGGAGGGGTCCATAAATCGTTATATCCTAATTCAAAGCTCGAATATTTGTTTCTTTTTATAAATTGTAAAATTTCCGTTTCCTCCAGTCTATTCCTTCAATCGTACGGAAAGAAATAGAGAATAAAAGGTTATTTCTTTGATAAAGAATGCAAAAAATCCTGTGAAAATTGGTTGACTATAATCACTGGTATTATAGCCACACTTTTGTCACAATCATTAGCTTTATTTGAACTTTTTGCCTTTTAAGCTCAATGGGCAGCCAAATAACATGGGCAAGTGAGGATAGAAGTAAAAAATGAGGGGCTTCATTTGAGGACCGTTTTGTAGATGGGAGTAGTGGTGAATTTTCTTATCGCCTTACATGAGCTTAACCACACCCAAGAAAATGTGCCTCTCATCGCTTGAGGCTATTGTGTCCGGTCGCCAGTGGTGGGCAATGAGGCTGACGGTACTTGTGGTGGACAAGTGACTTTGCGTAACTGTGGCCGCACATGAGCCTTTGACCGTTGCGAGCGCCCTGCCAAAACTGTCTGTATGCGAACAGAAGATCAAAAGTGGTTCCTAGCGCCTTCGGGGGGGAACACGAAAATACAGTTTTCGGACCGATTGATAGAGCTGCTCAGGCGTCTTTATTTTGATTTGATAAAAAGCCAAGATTGCAACAAAGTGTCTTTAATACCAAGAAATGAGATTTTTATCCTTTAGTTATCGGTCGAATAAAGAATCGTTACTTAAATAAAGCCGCCTTCTGTATAGGGCTATTAATTACTCTGAGTAGTCGGATTTGAGTCCGTTTATACCGAGGTGACATTTAAATTAAGTTCTAGATTGAATTAGTATGTATTTCAGCAAATGATGCAATGAGATAATCTGACAGCTATATTACAGCTTTAAATTATGATTTTGTTTGAAATATTCCTGCTGTATTAGGATTAAAGAAGATGGAAGTAGATCACCATTCAAAAATTGGGTGGGAGGAAGCGAACGTGAAAGTCCTTGCCATTTTTTGGCCAAAAGTTATTTCCCGATTAATAACCGATTTATTTCCGACCAGCTCTACCCAGCCTCTACATGATGAGGCGTGCTATGATTTTTCAATTAACTAGGTTTGACAGCTAATATTTTGTGCCACCTTAACAACTAAAATACGTTTGTATCAAATCATGTAATCATGGAAAATGTTAGCAGAAAACATCAAAGCTTGGTAAGCTGTGCTGACAGATTCCATATTATTCTGTTTAACGATAAGAGGAGGTAACAATACACGGTACACATATGCATAAGGACACACACACGCACACATTTTCTAATTCATTATGAAGATCCTTAGCGAACGAAAAAATTTTGCTGGAACTTGCACGGCCGATTAATTCTGCGACCACTTGTAGATGACCATCGCCTTACAAAGAATTGCTTTTTCTTTAAGCACTTGAAGCTAACCTAGATATTTGCATAGGCTAATAAATCCCAGAATTTCTACAAGGTACTTCACAATATTATGAGCTGAGTAGTTTCATGTAACTATATTTATGTACACCTCTGAGGGCCTTGAGTGAACACACCGTTTACTGAGAGTTTAAAAGGGGAAAAGGATTCTCTGCAACGAAGCTCCCACCCCCAGTGCAGTCTTGGGGTTTATCAGTGAAAAGAGATGTTCCCGCAATGACGAAAGTGGTTTAATTAATTTTCTCTAAGTGCGGGCTTCCATACACCCAGATTAGTTCCTCGCTAAGAATTTGTGCCCGTTACTTGAGTAATTTCGCCTCGATGACCACACGTGCGGTGCAGTACCACAGAAGCTATTCTTCCCTTTGCACCCACTTCGCATTTCCTTTCAGTCCTCTTCAGGTGGTTACCCAAAATAGACCGCATTTGTTAACGCCAGACTACTTGCTCAGTTTCCGCCCAAGTTGCCGTTTCACTGCAGCATACTTTATCAGTTGCGCATAGGGGCCTCTTTTCAAGCGTTTCAATCCCACTACCTCATAAAGATTCAGAGGACACCTTTGTCATATATATGGTTCTCAACTAATAAAATTCGGCTAGCTTGAGATTCCATCCAGTCGATATCGCTTAGTGCATTGCAGGGACAAATGATACTAAAAGTATCTTTGTAAAAATTTGTTTCTTGGGCGTATTTCTGTTTGATAGAAGTATATATGGGAACCTTTTACATAAAAAAATCAGTCGAATTCAAACAAATTGATACTCACTAGATAGAGGTATACACAACTGGAGCCAGAATTTCATTCCGTTTAGCTAGAATGACAAAATACTTCGACACCTCCCAATGTTGGTACTTTTTACCATTAAGTTTGCTTTTGAAATACCATCAATGAGCGCACCCTAAAACGAAGCATCGTAAGGTTTTAGAATTCAAAGAACCACACAACTAGGAGCAACTTTGGGTTCAAAACATCCCAATTGTCACTAAAACAAATGCACGTGACTCCCTCGCAGCCAAACTAACTCAAAATCGTGCAGACCCTGATATCGCAATTGCGTGACATTCCGACGCATTTGTTCCCACTGCGAACGAGTTTGACTTGGTATTATTAGGCATTTTCAAACCTCATCGCGCGCAAGCCAAGTGGAAAAACGGGGATGGTGCTTAACCGCTCGAATACACCTTTCCACACGTGCTGTTCTCTGGCCCGTGATATAAAATGATGAGGAAGAGCCGTGAAGCACACGCCCTGAAACCTTGTTAGTGTTAAGCAATCTAGTGACAGCAGTAGAAGCGCTCCAGGCAACGAACTTTGCCACTTAAACGCAAGCGAAAACGACTGGTAATTTAGATACCAGATCAGAATTCCCATGAATTTGTGCCTGTTCAATTGCATCGACGTTTGAAAAGCAAAAGGAGTCGGTAAACGATAGCAACTGAACGAAAAAACGTCAAAGCAGTGTCCGCTAACGATGGAGATGGACTCATTTTAATGTATTGAGTGGAACAGGCTGATAGTGAAAGGGAATTGTGATTCGCCAATGGTTGGCCAATGCAAAAATCTGTGTGGCGAATAGGAGGAGACGTGAGAGGTACAAGCAACTTCTAGGGCATTTTAGCAACTGGAAGAAAGTTGGTCACAATTCAAGAATCAGTGCAATGGCAGAGCTCTTACTGCAAAAGTAATAAGGGCTTAAGCGCAGAGGCAGTAGGAAGGAGACCATACAGATGTGACAAGCAGACAGGTGTATGTATTTACATGAACACAGACGTTTACTAAACCAACAAGCAGCGAGAACGACAGTAGCAGAATGGTGCAGTTGCCTAACGCCAGCGCCTCCTGTCACCTGATCGGTTTTGTTCTCCGTGACGAGAGGAGCGGTGCGGAGAATATCGGTGGATCTGTTCCCCTCGGCTTGAGATGGTGAGAGAAATGTTTAAATTTGGAACTATTAAATTGGCAAGGAACGATCGCATAGCGTGAGATTTATTTATTTACCGACGTGCTAGTTTAACTCCCACTGCCTTACATAACATTAAATCGAATCGAAATTCGTGAACACTACAATGTGTCAAAAAAAACTTTACAAGTTTTTGAGGGCTGCACAAAATAGAAAGACAATCCGTCATGTTTCACAAAAGCAATTACAAAATCAAATAATAAGTTTAAAGAAGTACAACGGGAGCATACCTGTGGTGGCGCTCTGATGTGCGCATCGAATTTGAGCAAGAATATGAAAACTGATTTGACCGTCTTAAGAAACGAAAAAAAAGGAACAGAACGAAAGGAAAATAGAGGTAAATAAATGAAGTTCTCAAAAACCTTTAAATCACCTGCACTGCCTATCGGGGGTTTTTCTCAATTTCACATCTTGTGCGTCCTCCCGATAAGGATAAGGTAGATTCCTAGCATAATGCAAAAATAAAGGGATTTAGTTCCTTTTTTGATCTTTGATTGCTCAGGGGCGACAAAGGCAACAAAACTGGGGAATTAAGTACAACGCGACGAAAGGGTAGCGGCTAAAAAGCCACCAGTCGAAACAAGTGGCGTCTCTGACTAATATTTTCACGAGGCCCGAATAAGCCTAAAAATTATTTATGGATCCTCTTTAGATGTCTCAAAGACGAATCAGAGGAATCTCAATCAAAAAAAAAAAAAACAAATTGATGCCAGACAAACGTCTGGTTGACCCCAATATCACTATGCAAATGACTAGTGCACAAGTAGCCGCTGACTTTTTTGAAAAAAATAATTTCCCCATACTAGTATCACAAATATGCAACACACACCTTATTAAATCGAGTTGCACTAAGGTTGGTTGAGCTTAAAACAAGAAAAGTAGGTGTAGGGTTTAATTTGTCTGAGAATAACCATTCTTTGTAACTTGTCCGTCTCATATTACAATAGAACATTCCGGCAAGAAGATTGCGATATTTGGGGAGATAGGATATGGCGTTATGATTTATGGATTGTTGTTTGGAAATTTTGAACTGAAAATATTCAAAAGGACCCAAACCCAGCTTTTCTGCCTAGAAAAGTATTAAAGCGTTTATGAAGAAGGTAGAAATTTCTACATGTATAGAAGTAGGACACATGCCATTTTAAACGGTTCGAACAAGTTCAATCGAGGAGCAGTTGCAAACAAATACTATGAGACTGTTTCGGACTCTAAACAGAAAGGTCACATAGGTGGTTCAAATCCAAAGAATGAAACTAAATGTATTACTGATTCAGAGTGAATACTTACATAAGCATGACCACATTCGAGCGCTGGATACCATAAGGCAGCTAACTAAGTTCGTACGTTTTTTGATAGTAAAAGTTAAGTAGCCATAAAAGCTTCTTTAAGTATTCTGTTTGCTAAGAGCATGTCTACTGGGGTCAAAAATCTTTTCATCGAGATGAAAACACGTGAGCTCCACCTTTGGACGTTTTACTTCTAGAAGCAAAAAACAGCCACATCTGCCCCCATCGTTCCTTCATCTTCCAACTATAGAACTACCTATTACCATATAAACTATGTATATTATGGTTGTTTAATGACAAAAAAAGTGGTTATCATTTAGAGGAACAGGATGTATTAACATCAGACTCCACCCCTTCGTCAAGGTTTTACGATTTCCCCAATTGAGACATTTTTCTGTGCGTGAATGATGTACTACGCGATTTTATAGGGAGAAAGGATAAACGAAGAGCCCCGATTACTAAATTGGAGCATTGTACAAGTTTAAATTGGCTTGAAAATACCAACATTTGTCTCATTCCTACCCCCTTCATTTGGTTCTGTCTTAGTCCTCATTGGCGAGGTTTCATGTCATAGCCGAAACGGGAACGTTTACGACATCAAATGTTGAAATGGTTTCTTTTAAACTCGAAGCCGTCTTTCTGGCGAATTGGTTTGATTCACGTGAATTAACGACTTGTGTGAACCTAAATGGTCCCGTTAACTCCAAGTCATAAAGTCAGATTCAAAGCCATAAAAGGCAGGTAAACGGTGAAAATTACACGCATAGTTTTGCTGCGATCCATCTTTAAGTCAAAATCTAGAATGGCGCTGTGCTCTTAAGAGTTTATAGAGCTAGAGGGACTTTAAAACGTCCAGTACGTGTTTAAAATCAACGAAGAAATTAAGGTGATTAAGTACCACGCGACTAAGAAAAACGTTTCATTGCATTTACACAGAAAACAATTAATCGTAATTAAAAATACGCAAAATTACTTTGTGTAGAAGCATTGCATGCGATTTTTAAAAATAACCAAAGTGAATGCCTCTTAAAACAGAAAGGGGACAGAGGAGGCAAAAAGCGTTTATCAAAGCCTTCCACGTCTCCGCAATGACATAAAGAGGAATGCTCAATACAATGTCATCAAGCCATAAATATCAATTAAGCCTTCTGCATATCAAAGAGTGTTTAATATGAGTGTGCGAATAGTGCACTACTTCCGAAGTACTCGACGCGAACAGTAGTGTACTCACTGATCTGGATTTGCAGAATGGTTCAAAAGCGCAGCGTGATGTTCTATGACTTCGCGCAGAACCTTAACCACAAAAAACCGCAAAGTAAGAAATACAAGCATGTGGTACACATGAAGGCAGTAACATTGGTAAGGAATAAAGAAAGCCGTCCATATAAAGAAAGAATTCGCTCACTTCAATGTAAGACTTTTTTGCGGTGTGAATTCCGCGGTAGCTCTGCCTTCGCCGTTTGAGGTCCCTCACGAAGGCCAACTCTTGAACGGACACACCTCCCTTTTCATGACCTGGCATTAAAGGCAATATTCGAAAGCTATTTAATTTTGTTTAAAAGCACCAGTTTGCTTATCAAGTTGCGAACCGATTCGCCCAACTTTTTTAGACTAAAAAAAAAATAAAACAAACCGATCTCCACATTTTCTACAGCCTAGCATCGAGGATTATACCAATATTGACAGAGCGAAGCAATTACGCACTAACTACAGTTGGAATTCATAGTACATTACGCAGATTTAATGTCTTTTATTTCGATAGGGCGTGGCAATGGAGGATCATGAATTCCTAGACGATATAACATGGTACACCAGAAGCAAGTGGCAATTCTCAGAACACCATGATGCAACCACCTATGTAAAGGGCCATTTATGGGTACTCTTTCAACAGATGCGCTTTTAATAGGGCAAATCAACCGTGGAAATATCCATCAGTGCGATTAACGCTCACATTAAAAAAGTAAGGAAACAGACACTCTTTGGAAGTCGTACGTGTGCACGTTCAGTATTACACGCTCTTCTAACATTTGAACCAACTTAAGACGCAAATCTTTACCTCTAGATCTCACTATTCTTTTATAAGAGCGTCTTATTTAAATGAACAACAACAGGTTTCATAGAAGAGAGGAATGCATGAAGCATTAATAAAAGTGTTGACACGTCGGAGAAGAACCCGACCTGGTTTATGAAATCCGAGAGTGGGTTGCTTCTCAGGTTGGTTAAGTATGGTAGGTATGGATAAGTTCAAGGACTTGTTTGACTGTCCACCCGCATCAGAAAATTTTCGAATTTCTTTATCATCATATTTCCATAGTGCCTCCTGCAAACAAAATGCATACTTAAACGGTTTCAGTACAATTTCAAAAACCATTTCCACGTGGTGATACTAGGTGGAAAAACGGCTGGTTAGATTACTATTCGGAATGCAAAAGATAGATGAAGGCACAATATCATGATACTCAAAGTAGCACTTTAACACTTCATGCACGTTATTCTACCACGTGAAAATCGCAAGGGGACCACAAAACAGGACCTGTTAACAAAGGCACATACAATCCCAAATGCAAATCCAAAATATGAGGCAAAATGGGTAAACTTGGGCTTGATTAAAAGGACGGAACATTAGGAATCGTATCTAGTGGACGTTGGTCTCACAAACGAATATTTGCTATCAATGATTAGAAATTGCAAATGACATCCCATAACAACAAGCACAGGTGTGTATCTAAAGTCGAAAAAAGGCTGTTCGGAGAAGCAGTGATGATAAGAATAACCGTTAAAGAGTCGACAATGTTTACAACTTCCTTCCTTGAATATCCTCTTTGCCGTAAGCGACATTTATCAAGATGAGCATCCAGGCGGTCACGGGGCACTAGGTGACCTTTATCCAAGGGACAAATCTGAGAATCAGACGCCTAGTGTAAAGAAAAACAAATAAAATAAAAATTGGTGCACTGGAAAACGCCAATTCAAGGAGCAAATCGCGTGCAAGACAACGAACAGGAAATTACCTCAAGAGTATACTGGTAGGTAAAAGTCAATATGAGAATTAAGAAGAAGCAGGAGTTTAACCTACTTAAATACAGATGACGCCAAAATCATGATAATACTGCACATCTCACTGCAAGTCCACGATGAAAATACAGCAACTAAACTTATAACAAGGCGTGCCTAAGCTTGAGTTAGTGATCTGCGCCCACAAAATATGACGTACCCTTTCAAGAGAGCTGAGCGTCCACCCAAGGGCAGTAAGCACATTTTCTAACTTGTTCATGGTAAAATGTGGATAGTATATTGATGCTGTTCACTCATATATCGGTAGGTAAAGCCATTCTTAATGTAGGCAAACAAACCCACCAAGGGAAATAGCAGCGGCAAAACCGCTTGAAGGTCACACAATTGTTTTATTGTGCGACCCACGTAATCAACGAAAATATTTCAAATAAATATGACATCTAGAAATGAATATGCCCCATTAGTAAACTTTATTTATAACTAATGGGTAGAGTTTGAGGTATGACAGGTATAAGCACACGAAGCACCGTTTTTGCCCATTCTGTCCCAAGATTGGCTATTTTCGCACGGACTTTAAACTCATTCAATCGCATGGTGCCCTAATAAACGGAAAAGTAAAATATGTCCATGCTGCTACTTGGCCAACGTCCACTCAGCGTTGTTTTAACCAAGTTTATACCTTGCCAAAAATATGTACTATTTTACGTTTTTTTCAGATCCGACCATAGCTCATACAAACATATTTCTGAGTATTTCTTAGGTAACGTCGATGCCGATACGGCGAGCTTTAGTAGCTTTGATCCTCACTAATTCTATCAGTAATATTCATTGGACCATTTAATTAAGACATTATATTACGTAACAAATAATGGAGATGTCCATGCTACAAATGCTTGCATCCAAGGTCGTGACGTCTTAACCGCCCTTAAGCCATGTGCATGCGGTAAAAAATGGGTACCAGACACAGTTACATTGCCGCGAATTCTTGCAGCCTTGACGATGGATGTCCCGTTCTAGATGGAGATTATGATCTCTCCGAATGTACAGGTGGTCCCTCCTGTCGTCATCAAGGAATCGCGCCTTCTCTGCAGCCACAAATTTATTGCTCATGTAAAGCTCGTCTCTTGAATGAAACCGGTTGGCAGGTGTCGAATGGGAAGTTGGAGCTCACCTATTATGACTTACTTTACCGGTATTCCGAACATAATATTACCAAAGTTGCGAGATGGCCTATTGTTGGTCTACGCGGTTATGGCTACTGCAAACACCTGTTTGCCTTTGAAGCAGGCCGTCGATGTGCTGTGTGTGCGTTGGACTCCTTGTCATTTTATGCGCTTTTTTGGTTTTTGTTCCCATGATTTTGTCCATATTTTCCTATTAATTACTTGATTTTATTCCTGTGTGGGTAAGTTTTTCGGCATCAAGTTGTCACTTCTACCAACTTTAATTCGTCTTCACATCTAGTTTCCTTCACCGATTTGAATATAATGAAACATATTCCTTTACGTTCTGCTATTTAAGTAGTACCCTACATTAGTGTTTACTCTTCTCTTCAGCCGGGGTATTTATTTTCAAGTGCAAAGGTTCTCGTTTTCTTCACACTCTCTTGAGTGAACACGTGAACACCCTGGCACGGGTGATTCCTACCAGTGCCACTACATGCACTTATAAGCCAAATATGGTGCGTACAAATCTCTATTCACTATATTCCCCTCTTGACATGGAAGCTACTGTTATCGTCTTACTTATGGTTTAGTTTTTATTTATGGTATCTAGCGCAAAGTATTTGACAGTTCTTTTCGGTAGATTTAAAAGTGGTAGACGAGTAACTTTAACTAATGTCCAGAAAAAAAATGGACAGCACTTGCAAGCGCCTATTGCATTGAGCTCGTTTCCTAGTAAAACCCTATTTTCTTTTCAATCTGTGAAGCACTCGCCTGGCTGAACTATCCATTCAAGTTACTATTTGAGGTTGTTATGCTTGTCAGGCTTATAAAAACCGAGTTTCTCGTCATTACTTGCAACAGGCGCTCTATTGTTATCTAAATACTCACTAAAACCAAACACTCAGCTCTTTGTGCAAATGTTAGTCCGAGTTTTCTTTCGTCTTATAGGATCGTGAAACTTGGAAACCCTCTATTGTATCTGAGACGGTCCCCTCTTTGGAAACACCGATGTTATTAGGTAACTACAAGTCACAACTCGAATAGTATCCTTCAAAGTTATGCGTTTTGAATATCAGTGGGGGCTAGACCGTGATAGATGGTAGAGTAGTCCTATTATTTTAGATTTAGAAACAGTCACCGAAACGCTTGCCCAACAACGGCAGACGCGCACATCGCCTCACACTGTTGCACACTCCGATCGGACGCGGCAGCGTAGACGGCGCCTCAGCGACGACTATATCTACCTTAGTAGGACACTGCCGCTTTCATCGCTGCTGCTGAACCACCACCACACCCCACCTCTGCCGCAGCCACCCGTGTCCTCTGCCTCCACCTCTCCTTCCGCAGGGGGCTTCTATCTGGTTGCCGTCCCCACAGTCAGCAGTGCTCACTCTTATGAAAACCAACGCGCCCTTGTTGTTTGAATAGAGCGTCGCTGTACCAACCCCAGCTCTAGAAGCCACCGCCAAAACACCCAATGGAAAGAAGCGCCGAAAATGCTGCGAAAAGTGGAAGAATGCATACGTGAATACTGTATTATCTTTCAAAATTGCCTCAAATGTCTACCGCTTCTCCCTCTTCTTGGAAGCCGAAATTCTGAGAGCCTCCTGAAAGAAACTTGGGAAGCTTTGTGCATACCCGAAGCCCGAGTAAATGGTTGTGCTTGCGGCCGTTAACCTGAAAGAGTGTGGATGAGAGTTTAACATACCATAGGGCGGGGAGTGCCAGGCTATCTTGCAAACCAAGAACGGGGGCCATCAGACTGGAAAATACCGCCGTTATTTGAACAGCGGTGTTCCACTAGACTCGTAGGAAGTCTGGCATTATTAAAACGACAAACCTTGCTTGAATTAATGGGCTTCATTTCAATTACTGCTTCCTGTGGGAATACCAGACCTAGCAGGGAACGCTAGAGTATTACAGGGGCTGGGGCACATACCGGGTGACCCAACGAGACAAAACGCAGGTAGGAGGCGCCAGTGAGGAGAAGTGCATCACGCATTAGAAATAGGGCTACCAGACTTACTGCAAAGTTATTTAGGCGGTGAAACTACCGGGGAGTAGGTTCGTGTACGCCATGGCCACAGAAAGCAAAGAAATGAAGAGCTTGTCAGCTAGGGGGTCCAGGTAGGAACCCGTAACGGATTGTTGTGATGGAAAACGGCGAGCAATATAACCATCAGCCTAAATCAGACGATGACTCTATGCATGTGAAAGTGCGTACTGCATCAGTTAATCCAATAACTGCAGCTAGTATAGCAGCTGATGAAAGATCCTGTCTTAGAATAAGGAAAAAAATCGAGGGAGTCGCACCAATACGTAAGGACGTCAAAATGTTGGGAATGGTGACAATTCTTGATTGCGGTTTTGAAGAGGAATTATTACCGAAGCATGAGCTAGGAATTGCATGTAGACAGTTTGGTGGTTTTGAAACGGGGTTAAAAATAGAATGACGAGTAGAGAGTCTGACCAGTCTTTGAATATTTGCAGAAACCAGCGCACTCATTTACAAGGTCAATTGCAAGCTATGCACGTCTGGCTAAAACAATTAAAACACACGTCAATTAGGTTAAATATTCGGCTGAGAAAGGCCCATTAAAAATAATAAATTTAGTTAAGTTTGCTACTATTAAAGGCGATTTTTGTTACACTAACAGTCATCCTGGCGTGTAAGCGTTTCTCCTGCTATGATGTTCACTATTTTAAATTGAAATTTGTCATCCTATATCAAAGAAGGATTTACTACCTAGATAAACAGGGCTAGGGGGTTTGGAGCATGACTAGGGTGCTATACTTCGTGCACAGGAGTGTAACCTTGTAGTGAAACAAATTATTAAAATCATTAAAAACCAAAACTAAATACTGGCAGTAGATTCAATTAGTTTAGGCTTTTTTTGGGAAGACTTTAAATGCTCATAGAACCCTCATCTATTTTTTCACTTAATAATGTCGCGAGCATGGTCGCTGTTGTTAGTGGCGTCCTGAGTGTTCCTAGGGTACAGAAGAGTTAGGAGGCTATCAGCTTGGCCTACTTACCAAACCGCAGAGCAAAAGTGTAACCTGTGAGGACTGAAAATCTCTGGTATTAGATTTGCTATGGTGCTTCTAGTGTCATTAAACGTTTGGCCAGAGTTACGCTACTTCGTAGATAAGCTTCCTAGTAGGCAGTACATAAGTGTAGCGTCCCGAGACTTCCTGAAGACGAAAAAAGACAAAATACTC